GGCTCGTGTGGGGCAGGTAGTATCCACCATAAATCTGGGGTTCACTTGGCGTGGTGGTGGCTGAGGTCGATGTGGTAGCAGAAGACTGCTGGAACTGTAGAATCGGGTTATAGTCGCCTGTTATGGCCACCGGAGTGGTCTCAATTTTGTAAACGCCTGGATTGTTTGGGTTGTACGACTGGAACTCTAGTATATGGGCGGTCGGCAGCTCGACACCCGGACCACCACTTGGCCGCGAATCCATGGTGTTGTCTTTCTTGTGTCCCTGGCTGAGGTACTGCTCCTCCTGTGTTTGCCCCGCCTTCAGTTTTTTACTTGCCACTTGTTCAACGTGGGCCAAGCAATACTCGCAGTTTTCCTTGCTGCATTGCTCCATACAAAACTCGCAGTCCGCAAATGCGGGATTGGCTGCTCCCAATCCATGCGGCTGAGCTCCTTTTTCCTGGCCGTGCGTCTCCTGATCACACATGGTCAGGGCCACGGGCATCGCTCGGCCGGTGGCTACTCCTGTTGCCGACGAGCTCGTGTCCTTAAAGAAAATCTCCTCGTAAATGTTCTCCTCACTGCGGCAATGTCGTTGCTCGGCCTTCAGAGGAGATTCCCCACTGCCAGCTGGGTGTCGCTGTTGGTCCACTATTTTCTTCGAACTCTTTAAGCCCTCCTTAAGCAGATAGTAGTTAAAGCTTTTTATTCCAATCTCGCCGCGCAGGAAGCGTTTGCCAATGGCAACTTTGGCCGCGTCGGCGGCTGATTCTGCAGGTAAAGAGCAGGCGGTATTCTGGGCGGAACCGCGAGCAGAGTACCCGTCATCCAGCTCGCTGACTTCGGTTGGGACACCATCCGGACCCGCCTCGCCGTAGGGCTTCCGATTTCGCTCCTTGCGAGCCCGTATGTCAGCATCGTGACCGCCCTTACCAGCAGCTCCCGCAGCAGCCTCCCGCTTCGGATGGCCAGCGGGCAGATGGCGACTGTTGTCCAGGCTAAGATTCCGCTTTTGCTTCGAGTTGCGCTTCTGGGCTCCCTTCTTTTCCGGCCTTTCCGGGCCTGTGGCGGCCAGACTGCGCTCCAAACTGCGGACCCTGCGGGTCATACCACCTTTGGTTTGGGTTGGTTCCTGGAGCTCGTTGTCGGTGCTGCTCGAATCGCATTCGTAATTTAAGCTGAGGGCAGTGCTGCCGGAAGCAATTGTGGTTGAGTGGAGTGCTTTGATCTTGGCCTGCTTTCCCGGCACATACTGATGCAGCTCCTGGGTCAGCTGGTTCTTGGCCAGTAGGCTGCCGGATGACGACTGACTAGCCTTGTGCTCCAACAAAGACTTCCCGGAAATGCTATTGCGACGCATGGGATTCGCCAAGTGGCTTATGTCCTCCGTGTAGGCAGGATCGTCATAGATCCTGTCGCGCACGGATGTGGCTGATCGGTCCTTTGTCTGAAATCAAACAGCGAGAGAAGATGTAGTTGCTCAAATGTAGTTGCTCGTTTCCTTCGCAATTCACCTTAACTTTGTTTTTCTTCCGACTTCGGTGCGGTATCGTCACATCCGTCAGTTTCAATAGCTTTGGTCGCAGTGACCTCTTCGACACCTTGCCCCTCTCATAAGTCAGGTCCAAATAGGTTTCGGTTGCCATTTTCTATAGATTACGCGCAGAGCTAGGAAATCGGATTTCAAAGGCCAAATTAAGCTGAAATCTGTGGACAGTGCCATCGAAAAAATGTGTGACTAAACTAGAGCACTGCTGCTAATTGTAAGTGTGTCATGCATTTAGATACATTAGCTAGCAGTCATTCCGTAAAGTATCTACATGTGGGCTCTCATCTGTATCTTCATTGTTATGATTGTGGGTCATTTCCCCCAGTGAGTGATGGCATACTCGTAGTCACTTTAGGGTGTGGCAGTGAAGGATACGCAGTCATTGCATTTAGTCTGAAGCTTCCTCTCGGCTAATTCCCCATTTGTAGCTTGTTGAGGCAAGCAAATGCATCAGTAACGAAACACACAAATAAAAGCATAAAGGCCAAATTGTGTGGGTCGGGTCGGCCCACTACAATTTTATTAGTTCAACACGCACCTGCTCATTGTCTATGGCAAGAGGGCAGAATCCTTGAGGCAAAACACGGCTTGATATCCAGTAGATATCCGACTAGCATCGAAATGTCGATTTAAGCGTGACACGAGTCCGGCCAACGGCTGGCAAAGGCATTAATTGCTTTGCTTGGACGTCATATTTGAAATAGTTTGTTACCTATTCCCAAGCGTAAGCACCCAACCTTATATACACACACTGCTATGCGTAGCTAGTATCTTCCAAGTGCCCTATTGTATGCAGTGCGACTATATCTGTACAACTGAGGCGAGCAGCGACATTCAAACCTTCCGTCCATTACGTTAAAGCCGAACTGAATTGTCTGCGCTCGGGATTCCTGCGGCTTGGGCGCTCGTGAATGGGAAAGTTGCTTTCCTTCAGTGGCCCCATGCCCAGATTGCTCCGACAACAGCTTACAAGGATGCTGAGCCAAAGAGATGCCAGGATGCCGATGTGGGAGAGCACCACAAAAAAGTGCCAAATGAACCCGACGCCTGCGCCCTGGCTCGCCTGTTTGACGTTTCCACGCATATCCGCAGTATACTTCCTGCTCGGGATTGCCATGTGGGCAACCTGGCGTGTTTCAACATAAGGAGAGTCCAAGTCAAATAATTAGCCGTTCTGCATTGCAAGTAACTAGGCAGAAGCCATAGATGTGCACCTGTAGATACAGGCCACCATTCCCTCTACTTCTGGTTGAATGTTCCCAGGAGCGCCACTGCGCATGACTCACCTAGTGGTGTGAAGTGCGTAATTGTTGATTGTGGAAAGAGTCCTTCAAGAGTGCACATGTGTCGGAGTTCGCTCAAGGACCTACCCGTTTCGCTTTATTTTGGCACGTGCTCACGCACACCACCACGTGGCAGCAACATGTTGCTGAGTTTGCGTGCTCGGGCTAGACTGAATAGTCCTGGAGTCCTGGAGTCCTGAACTTGTATAAAACAGTGGCACAGCATTTTCCACAACACCATTACGGCTATGTATCCGCCCAGTGGGTGCACTGATGCCTTTAGGGAAGCTTAGACACACTGACACCAGCATCGATGTTCCGCTTTAAAGTCAAATCAGAAAACTGAAAAATTAGGATCTCGGCTACTGCGTTCTGTCTCTTATTTCCAAAAGGATATGATATGATATCGAATTTGGTGAAGAAAACTATCAGCTAGTAGCAGCAGATAGTAAGTAGACGCTCGAAAATGACAGCACTTTAGAATCGTTTTAATGACATTTTTGGGTATTTTTCTTAGTAGTTAAAGGACACATGAAACGCACAACCTCTTTAATGATTTATGAAGCCACGTGTCCAATTCTTGACAATCGACCTGGACTTGCTAGTTCTTCCCAGCTCCTCGGCGCGCATTTGCTCACTCAGCTTTCGCTGGTTTTCGCGAAACTGGGATAACGAGTCATTAAACTGATTGTAGTACTGCAGCACATCCCGGACATCGTCAATCTCACTTGTCCCCAGAACACTAAGAAACGACGCCAGCTCGAAGAGGGTGGCGTCATTGTTGTCTCCAGACCACCGCGGAATGGAGAAACAATTTGAAGGGTGGAACTTGGTGGAGTTTCTATCCCAGTCCACGACAACCACGCGCTTTAGGTCTCGGTTGAGGTTGTCAAGATTCTTCACGTGGTGGCCCTCAACAAAGTGCGTTGAGTCGCGAACCAGGCGATACATTATATAGCCGTTCGGATCAAGTGCGTCGAGCAGCGGGAACACAGTGACTCCCTGCTCCGCCGTGTAAACCACGATCTCAAAGTACTTGGCACATTCCTTCAGAAAGAGGTCAACGCCAGGGCGCTTCTTAAAGCGCCATCCTGTCTCGTAAGTCCAATCAGGATGCACCAGCACATCCTTAATCTCGAGTACCAGAGTATACGACGGCTGCACGTAGGGGGCCTGAAGGGGTTCAGGAAGCAGCTTTTGACTTGACGGCTCTTGAATAAACCGCTGAAAGTGGTTCACCGACTGCCATGTCCGCCACATGTACTGCTGCACCAGTGGCAGAGGACTAAAATCGTCGATGACTTCATTTCCCTGTTCGTCCAATGACGGCTTTCCAAAGTAGTATAGAGCCCAAAACGAGAACAACAAACTTCCTATGCCGAAAAGCCCAAAGCCCTGCTTCATCCGCCTCCAAGCCCGCTCCATTTCCTTCATCTCCTCCTCCTCCTCCAGCTTCCGCCGCTCACGACTCTCCTCGTCGTTGGGCTCCTCGGAGGTTTGCGGAAAGAGCTTCGTTAGGATTTGCGTAGACGTCTTCTCATACGTCGAGTAGCGTCGGTGGCCCACGTATACGGCGGATGCATTGCTGCCCACGTGGCCCACGTGGATTCCAAGGCACGAGCTGGGCCCCAGCTCCACTCCGGGTTTTCCAACATTTTCCGCTGCACCGGGCTGCTTGACCAGTGCGTGCCACAAGCCAGAGGTCAGCGACCGCGACGTTTTGATAAGTTTGCGACAAAACCGCGGCCATACACATAACGCCCTTTCAATGGCTATTAAAGTCATTGGTAACTTGAAGATTTGTCTGGTTCTCAAAATATCGATGGATTTTAAAGGGGGCATCCAGTTAAATAACGAAACACTATTAAATTTAACATATTTCTATTACCAAGCCGGGGTTAGGTAGCGTTTTTCTTTTGTGTAATGTTTATTCAATTTTGTCGCAGACAGTTTTTTTTCGGTTGCGACTAATGTTAAATAAAAACCCAGGGCCAACTAACAGTCCTAAAATGCTTTTTCTTCTACAGCCCTTAGTTTATTTAAAAACAGTTGGCTATATCTTCAAACTTGACCATGGCTTGTAACGCTGGTAACTGATTCTGGGATTCGAAGAATAAGGGTTATATCCTTGGGAAAATTATTTTTAAACGGCAAGTAAAGGTAATATGAAATTAATGTTTAAGTAATTCCTTGCATTTAGGCCTTAAAAAGGCGCTGAATAAAACCAATTCTTTATTGTCGTTCATGTAGTCCGTACGGGCTAGCACTTAAAAATTGCTTATTTAATGTTAAAAATGTGGCTTCCGTATACGTATAAATAAATAATTTGCATTGTTAAGTTGAAATGCGGCCGGCTCCTGTAAACAGAGAATTTTAATGCAACTTTTCACAACTTTTCACCTTTCACCCTCTAACCCTTATCCTTCTGCTTTTGCTCCTTTGTTCGACGACTCTGGCCGTGTTGCTTTCCTCCACTGGAATTGCCATTTGCTTTGCACTTCTTGCTGACGGTACGCACAGGATTGCAGTTTTGGTCGCTGCCGCCAGTGGCCTCTGGTTCCAACTTATCCTCTCTGGTTATTTGTCCTCCGACGCACTGCGACCACTCACCCTTTTCATAGCGGCAGCCTACGAAAAAAAGCGCAAAATTCGCATTAATTTCGGAAAAGAAGGTTTAGTACTACAATTTAGTGCTATAATGAAGGATGCACTCGCTCCATTGTTATGAACAGGAACTGCAGTATTTCCCAGCAAACGAAACGAAACTTTGGCGGGGAAAGATGCAGCAGAACGGCGAAGTTGGCCAAAAAGGATTGTGCTGCTCAAAAGGACGCACACCAATTGTCGCGTATATGGGTCACAAGAGTGATTTTTGACTTTTGTGACTTTTGGGCCAATGGGCTCGATTTTTGGCTGATTGAGGCGGATGGCTATGAAATACAAGTTACCGCGCGCACCTTTCTTGCACTTCTTCTGTATGGTCCGCGTTGGCAAGCAGTTTTGCTCTCCTTTCCTTAGGGACAGAACCCGCGATCGCATATTGGTCTTCTGGTCACAATTGGACCAAGCGCTCTTGGCGTATCGGCACGTCGACCCTGTCAACAAGCAAATGTCAAAGGTTGCAATGAAACAGATCCGAAGGCTTACCATTCTCCGAAGTCGCTGCTTTAGGTCCTTTTCTGTTGCCTCCATGATGTTGGCCATGTCCTCGCTGCTTAGCTCCTCCTTGGCGTGGTTGCTTATCAGTGTTTTTGTGGCCTTGCTTGTGATTCGGTTGTGATAGCTGTGCCCCGCCATTTTCCGCAACCCCTTGTTTTCTGGATCCCGATCCCGACTTGTGGCCCCCAACCTGCTGAAAGTGCTCTTGCGACTTGTTCGCCTTACGGTTGTTCCTGGTGCGATGGCTGTCACCATTGGTGGTGGATCCGACTGTCTCAGCCTCCGGCGTGCCCCGAGCCGGACGAATGTGTACTACATCGCCCGACCTCTTTTCCATGACCAGACGTATGCCATCAGAAAGGCTTTGGCCACGAACTGATAGCGGACTCTGCGCCAATACCACCAAAGCTAGTTGCAGAGCCGTGGTTACAGCCAGTATAAGATTCATAACTATTTTGGAAACCTAAGAGCAGGAAGAGCAAGAAAGCAACGAATAAAATATACGTTTTCAATCCGAACTCTGAAATAATCCAGCCAGTATAAGATTCATAACTATTTTGGAAACCTAAGAGCAGGAAGAGCAAGAAAGCAACGAATAAAATATACGTTTTCAATCCGAACTCTGAAATAATCCAGCCAGTATAAGATTCATAACTATTTTGGAGACCTAAGAGCAGTAAGAGCAAGAAAGCAACGAATAAAATATGTGTTTTCAATCCGAACTCTGAAATAATCAAGAACACATTGCTTCATTTTTCTTTAAGGCCTTGTCACATAAATACATATACAGTGCAAACATGAACTTGGAAAATTCGGCGCCATGCAAGTTTGATATTTATAAAATAGAAGAGGTCGAACATGGAGATAAGGAAGCTTGTGACGAGTCTTGGGGTTGTTTAGGCTCGAGTTCTAAAAGTGTAGATTGGAGTGATAACGCTAGAAGCGATCCCTATGGCGGATTCGAATCGGACAGTATGTCCATGATCCCAGCAAGCGAAAGTAAGTCTTGCAAGTTGCCGGCGGGTTGGGAAGAGCGCATTGCTGCCAATACCAAGGAGAGCTATTTCTATGACACAATTAGCCGCAAGGTGTACTTCACACTGCCTCCAAGCGACCACAGAGAAGCTGAGAGGGATGCCTGGAATGGAAGTCCTAGATGCACGCTCCGCTGCAGGCACATTCTGGTGAAGCACAATGAATCGGATAGGTGTAGTTCATATCGTGAGCCGGTGGTAAATAGAACTAAGCGGGAAGCGCTACATAAAATCTTGCAAACGAGGGATCTTGTCGGATCTGGCGAATCTGAGTTTGCTGCACTGGCCAGAACGATCTCCGACTGCTGCTCTGCTCGGCATGGCGGCGACTTGGGTCCCTTGAGGCTTACACAAACGTCTTTTGGCTTTGAGGAAAACATTTTGCTCCTGAATACGCCCGAACTATCCGAGATTTTCCAGACGAATGCAGGTTATCACATCTTGTGGCGCACCCCGGTACATAACAGGAAAAGGAATAAGCGCGGCAGTCTTGAACAATTGATTAATTCAACCAAAAAGGAGCCCAAAACCCACTTGAAGAAAAACAAGTATTTTTCCATGAGAAAACCAAAGGCCTTCTTATGCAACTCGATCGGAGAAAAACAGGGAACACGAGCTTTCGATAGCAAGTCCAGTTGTCCGAGTGGTTTCTCATTTAAAACACCGTGCCCGACTTTGGAGTCTCTGGCACCGGATGACAGCATCATATACGCCAAACAGCAATGTGAGGTAAGGAATCAAATAGTCCACGATAAGTTGGATAAAACCATGCATCTAGGCAAATATCTAAAACTATTAGCAGAGAATGCACCGGGAAACGGTCTAATCAAACTGCAAAACGTAACAAAAGATTTTTGTATGAATAAGGGAAGACTTCGGCCCGAAAACGAATGCCACATGGGAAATTAAAAAAAAATATTTATTTGGAGTGCAAACTTAATAGGACACACTTCCAGTTATATTAAAGGTTTATTGAGGAAACCGGTCGAGAGAACTTCTGATAAAATCCTGTGCTAAAAGCAGACGCAACATCAAGACTACCCAAATTTAAGGGATTCTGAAGTTCTTACTCAAGCTGAACATCTGGCGAGCATGTGAGTTTTCATGCAGATTCATTTTGTATATCCCCATTTAGCGTTCTACCCAGTCGTGTATTTTTAGAATTAACTTGCGATCTAGCTACTGGTCTGCGTGTCCCTCCATAGCGCATCCCAACTTAAAGGCACAGCACCCACATTCCTCCAAATTCGCCAGCCTAACCACTCTTATACGGCTATTCCACTCAACGCGAATTCTCTCCGGACGACGAAGGAAGGGGTGCCCTGCACACGCGCACTGGTAACTCACTCTCGACAAGACACGGGCATTAAAGACGGGTTCAAGTTATGGGCTGTGGTCCAGCCAAATATAATCTGGGAAGCGGCTTGAGAAAATGCAGAAAATGGAGAAAATGCACTTCACTTGTTAGACGGCGGCTTGCGATCGTTACGCTCGCATTCAGAGCTGTGGCCAAACTGAGTGGGCGAACTGCCACAACTCGAACTCGATGAACTCGAACTCGAGAGGCTCCAAAACCGCTCAGCCCAGAGAGCCCAATGAGTCCAATGAGCCCAATGAGCCCGATGAGCCCGATGAGAGCGGCGGGAAGAGAACTGATACATACCATTTACAAACTCATATACACAGCGATGAAAAATTTCTATGTGCCTCCTTTATCTGGTTCGCTTTTTGCCGACTATGCCCCTTTTCGGAGTTTTCATTAAAAACACACTTGTCAATTTGATATGAAACAAATAGGGTTTTTTGTATTAGTGCATTAGAAGCAAGTGGGGGAAGCAGGCGTAATAAATAAAACATAGAAGAGCAGTTCCTAAGGTCCGACCTGATTTTGTGACGGAGACGAAGCTATACATTCCAATTTCCTTTTCGACTTTTTAATCGAAGCCTACGAACAAAGACAAACAGCATTCTTGCGAGCTCCGCTGTTTCGTCTGTGATAAGATAAGCCATCCTTTATCTATGTGCATGGGTGCATATAAGCACACAAGTAAGCTAAATGTAAACAATGACCAGGCATTGTGTAACAGATTGGAGTTCTTCGTTCCCCGAGCAGTTTTATTATTGTGTATATCAAAATACGAATAGATACAGTTTTGAGCCACTTTTGAGTATATGTATATGTTGAGCATATATTTTTCCCGGAGTTCCTCTTTGAATCCGAGAGCTCAGCCAAACATGTTTTGAGTGACTTCTCTGAGTCAGATTTACTTTGGTTCAAAAACAAAGAGCGGACGCAGACGAGGCAAATGAAAATGAAAAAACGCAATGTATGCATGTTGCTAAAACAACTTTAAGGCGATAGTATGAAATGAAAAAGAACCGAGAAAGGTTTCGAGTATCGAGTACCAAATGAGCAACTATGATTTGTAAAAAATTGTATGTTAGTTTCCTTGTTCGATTCCAATCTAAGCTCCATTAATGTTTTTATGTTTTTATGTTACCGCAACATCCGAACATCCGTATGTACACATGTATGAACTTTTGTAGCTTCCAGACTTGCCCACTGAAACCCGTACTGCGGATGCCTATCCACATCATTTAGTACCTTTAAGAAAAAGCCGGACTTACCACTTCTATCCCACGAAAGTCGAAGTGCGCATGGTCGTTCCTCAGAAAAAAGGAACTGCTAGCACGCAGTTAAAAGCGCAGCATAACAAACAACCCGAAAGATACGAATATCTTCGCAGTAGCAACGCAATTGATTCGTTTCATAGCGAAATTCATGTTCATAAACCGAGTGCATATTGTATTAAAAATGGTAGTTTTTTATTTCATAATATTTGTATTTATTAAAGTTCATTTACTTTTTCTTGTGTTGTATACGTACGTAAACAAATTTCACTTCACTTTGGGGGAGTAGCTTTAATGCTGTTCCTTACGGAATTCAAAGACTTAGACAACTGCCCCTAAGGATGATGGTATGAATTTTTATTTGAATGCTGTGACTGAGCTGTTGTTCTTCTTGACTTTGTAGTTATGAATGCACGGGTATGGTTGTAAAACTGCTTACAGATAAATACATTAATTCGTAGTTAACGCTCTAAGTTTATATATGTACGTGTTTATTAAAAAGATAAACCATGTCTTTGAAATGGTACATTTTTGATCAGAATATATATGAATGTATGTAAGTATGTAAGTATGTCTGCATCTCGACTTGTATATTAGTTTTGGGAATCATACTTCCAAATTTATATGTTAATTGTACCCGGTAAAAGTGAGTTGTAAACTACTTTAAAATGCCAATTGCCTACACTGCAACTACGATGGATCTGTGTTTAGACCGTCGCGTCTCATTCCTTGTCTTTCAGAAATTTTTTCTCTACAGTATGTCTTTATTTTTACAATATTTACACTAAGTGTTTTATTTATTTGTTATCTGCGAATGAAAAAATGTTTTCAGTATTCCTTATTTATTTGGGTTTCATTCCGATTTTTCGGTTAATATTATTTAAATTCCATTGAAGAACAACGCTGCTAAATTTATGAAGGGGATCAAACAGCCACACAGTCTAGGGAGCTGTATTTAAGAATTATCCTTTATTTCAATGCGGCAACTGCCATTACAGATTTTATCATTTCAGATAATGATGGGTGTTGTGGGCTTGGATGTACGTGTGACTTTCATTGGGTAGTAAACTAAATTAGTTCGTATTTATGTTGGTATGGTATGGTATTGTATGAATATATTTTATTCTGCATTGCATACATATGTTAGACTCCACAAGGTTTCTATTACGTCGTACAGCTTTCGTTTATATTATGGTTATCGTTTGCTTGAAAATCAAACTACAACATTAATTAATGTGTGCATTTTATTTAAATGCCTTTTGGGTATACATAGCAGACAGTTAACGTCGTTACGATTTTTCAGTTTTCAATTAAAAAAATCAATTTTAGTTATTTGCATTGGAGTCAAACAAAATAACACTGGAATTAAAATAATCGAGTTTGATATCACTTAAACGCGTCCTTTGCGAGCAGCTGCATGTAAATAAAAGAAGATTGGATATAATGCTCGTGAAAGTTTATAAAAATTACAATTAACTCTATCCGAATCTATCTTCATAGTCATATAACATATGTATCTATGATAAATCCCCGAACGCATACGAGTTCGCCAGCTCGAGAGTTCAATTTACATCACATCCACACTTTCTAATGTTTTGTTTAAAATTCAAAACTAGCAAACTGACCTTTATCCTTGTTCTTTCGCTGCTCCTTGGCACTTTTGTCCTTGGATTTTCCGGGCTTGCAATTCTTCTTGATGACCCGCGTGGCTTCGCAGGAGGGATCACTGCTCGCCTTCAATTTATCAGCTCTAGTCATTTGTCCGGTTGCACATTCCGACCAGGATCCCTTTTCATACCGACATGCTGTGGGGAGGGGTGAATACGATAATTGGCATGAGTCCTTTTTACAGGGGAACACGAGGGGTGCTTTCTTATTACCTTTTTTACATTTCTTCTGAATGGTTCGCGTTTGGTCGCATGCTGGGTCGCCCTTCTTTAGTGTCAATGTTCTTGAACGCGTATTAGTTTTGGTGTCACACTCAGTCCACGGATTTTTGCCATATCGACACGACAAACCTTGAGGAAGAACAGTACCACAGCGTATTAAATCAGCTCCTGGTAGAAAAGCTCTCACACAGATTCCCAATACCCCCAAAGGCTCAACCATCCCCTGACTCACCGTCGCTCTTGGTGCCCCGTTCATTTCTTATAAGCACTTCGTGATCGTCCTCCTCCCATACTTCTCCTTGTATGGCCGTGGTGGGCTGGGTCTGCTCCGCCACGGGAAGGGCTAGCGGTGTTTCCTGGCCCTCTGTGGTGCCCAGTACCGTGCTACACATCACCCCCGACCAGGTCACTAGCGATGCCAGTAAAAGCGCGTTGCAATTAATTCTCATGGTGCGACTTCTGCTGCTGCCCACTGCGAAAAAAAACCCATTCCTCAATGAAAAATGATGGTAGATACATTTACGAGAATTCTAGTTAGAATGAATTTATGTAGCTGAACAAAGTGAATCGAAGAGTTCATTTTTATTAGAAAAGAACATTTTTGCCCGCAGGGGTACAACATACACACACGACACATTTGCACCAAGGAAATTCATCAATATTCATAAGTTTAGATTTTTTCTCAATGTTTCCACTTTCTGCACAGGTTGCTAGTTTACTATGGGGCAGTTTTTCCAGCTGTTTCGTAAACTAATACTTTTATTCAAATTTCACTGGCACACAACCTATAAAATTGGAGACCAACCGTCAGTTATACACACAGGAAAACTCCAGACTCAGACACAGCGCAGAATTTGTTTTAAGGACAAATGGTATCAACTGCTCTCGTTGCACGACTCTTCGAAACTGAATGAAATGATATAAGAACAGCAGCATAAAAGGCCACGGCATGTATAATATCTTGCAGGATTTTATGCTCATGAGGAAGCCTGTTCTCTCGATTTTTCTCGTTTAGTTTCGCCTTCATGTCCTTTTTGGCCGTTTGAACTGAGAGAGTGCGCACCGGCGCTTGGCTTTCATCAATGAGCTGCGCAAGTTCTAAACATAAATATTTTACATTCTATTTTTATCCTGGATTATATGCTGCTCAACTGGATACAGTGGACCACAATCTAGGCAGAAATAGGGGCGTACAAAGTCTGCTTGGGGAAATCGAACATGTTTATTTACAAATTCGCATGCTATGAAAGTTATAGAAGACGCCCCACAATATCCTGCAAGAAAATGTCGCATGTACACTCTGTCGTTCACGTGATGTAGTAGAAATACTTGTTCGGTCAATATGTTCTATTTGCATTATCAACGTATGACGCACTAAATATTTGCTGAAAGCAAACCCTTGCTCCTTAGCAGCACTATGCCAGCCCCACCCTATTACGATTGGTCTTCGTTTGGTCGTCGTGTGCTCCTTAGCGGGCACATCGATGCACCGCCCATGTCTTGACAACAACCACACATACCACATGTCAGGTGCAAGTCAAGAAATTCCGTGTTATCTTATATGTATTCAGGTTGGTTCCTCATTTTTGGGCCCAAAAATCACCTGTTGGAGAAGTTTTCGAAGTAAGTTGATCAAAGGATTCAATAGTAGTGGAAGCATGTCGGCAACAAATCTGTGCCTTCCATGCCGCAAAATGCAAATGCTTTCCTCTCTTCGTCAAAGGTAGCGGGGTTTTAATTGGAATTGCAACGCCCCATAACCTGCGACCTGGGGTCAGTACGTAGGCGTTATTGAGCCCAACAGCTGTCATAAAATTTAATAATGCAAATGTAATTAAGAGACCCGGCCTCACGTGTTCATACTGTCGGTCTGTTCGGCAGCCGCACCTTAAACCATGAAATTGATGACGCACCACGACAGCTCCTTGTAAAGGTGCAAAATATGCATTGAAGTACTGGAAACTTTTACATCTAAAAGTTAAATAGTTTATAAGGGATATAAACATATTCTGAGTTGAAGGTTTGGGAGTTGCAACTTTTAGGAAGCTAGCTTTCAAGATCAGATTATATAGTTACACGTCACTTTACGATGCAATACTATTATTTTAGATTATTTCATTGCACACTCTGAAATATAAATCTGCTTCATGAAATGTTATACTTAATTTTATTCTCTGTCGCCTTTGGCAAAAGGACAAGGATGGCATCGAAGCTCCTGCACAGACTGCCTGTAGTAAATGCCGGGGTCTCTTACCATTGGGTCTGATCGCTACACGCAGCTGTGACATGCTTTTGTAACATCGGTGTGGGTAATTTTACTCGAGTTTTAAGAATCCATTAAACAGGCTCTCCATAAACCTTTTCATCTGCAAAGTGCAACTAGTTGACAAACATACATGGCCGGTCGGATTATATGTACGCGAAACTACAAAGAACGCTGGGTTCCACTCAGTTGAACAACCCCATTCATACCGAGCTCTGGGAGGAAACGAACAAAAGCTTCCGGTGAAAAATAGAGGTGAAGTTATCATTGATTCATTGGCCAGTGTTCCGAGCTCGTTTCCATGGTAACTTTGGGGTTCAGGAACATGAGCGAATTAGTATGCATCAGCGCGTAGGTCCCCCAGTGCTTATCAGTTGTTAGATAGCCCATGTTCATGTCGGCAGCCAAATTCGGTTTTTACATTCTGTGACCGAGTGGAAAGTACAGATCTACTTTAACGGATCATATTTCTCAATAAATAAATATATATAAAGATCAAACTGTGAAGAAAGATTCGCTCGCAATCTCGTTGCTGCTATGAAAGCATTTCTAGGTGACGATGTCATTTAATATGATAGTAAATCATAATCTTGCGTGTTCATCCAAAATGAATATTTATTTTGCTTGGTTCCTGATCTTCAACATTATAATGTTTCTCGCGCTGTCTGTATCTCTGCCAATATTGAGCAGCAGCTCGAGCTGCAGTACTATTACCACTTGTGATCCGTTTCTGCCTGTCTGCGCATCGTCGACAAATGAGCACCAGTTCTTCTACAGCAATTGTGAAATGTTGCGGGATGCCTGTCTTACGGGAAAGGGTAAGTTATCCGTTTAGAAATTTAATCATTCTAATTCAAATTCTGTAACTCAGCAGATTGGAAACCGGATTACTTCAATCACTGCAATGTCAGTAAACTTTAGTCGTTTGTATAAGTTAAACTCTTAATTCAAACAATAATTTTTGTGTATACATACATTTATAATAAAGAGGCTTTTAAGTCTTACGTGAATTCTAAGCGACAACCTGCTTGGTAATCAACTAAATAAACAGGCGGCTAGTGAAAGGACCTATAATTGGACTAACTCCGACAGTTTTTGACGCCTAAACTCCTTTCTCGCCTCGTCAAGAAGCACATTGTGCAGCAGATTCCGGTTCTGAGACTGATCCGCTGCCAGTGAAGGGTAGGGATTGCCCCGAAGCTCCAGCACAGACCGCCTGTAGTAAATGCCGGGATAGTCACGAGGGGCTTTGTACATGCGAGTGTAGGACACATTGTAGTTCTCGTAGCGCGGCACCAGCACCTTGAAGAGCTTATGAACCAGTTGCTTTTCCAGCAGCCAATAGTCCGCCAGTTCCATGGTGGCTTGGTGCCGGTCCCCATGGCGTATGGCATTGGAAATAAGCTGCGAGGAGATGCATTTTTAGTTGGACTACCGCCATTAGTATACGGCCGATGGTCTCTTACCAGTTCGGCGTAGCCACGAGCTTCATCGGCGCGGTTGTAGAACAGTTCAATTCGCTCGTGCTTCACCAACGCAGTTACGGTCTTACGCAGCTTCAGCAGCCGCCCTTCCGGGCCATCAGCATTCTTCAGGTTACGCTTATTGGGTCTGACCGCTATACGCAGCTGTGACATGAGCTTTGTTACATCGGCTTGATTCATTTTACTCGAGTTTTAACAAAGTAACAATTAAGAAATCACGTAACATTCGCCGAACAGCTGGCGGCGACCCTTTATCGATGGCGATACTCTTTTAACGGTTTAATCTATCGATACCTAGGCCGGCAATGTAAACAACTAAGGCTGCCACACAGATAAATTTAAAGTGTACATTTCATAATTTACATATGTATGGACTCGTTAAACTGACAAAAATATTTGTAAAATGAAACAAAAGAGTATAGAAATAATGAGAACCACTCCAATGTTCCTCAGTTAAATTAAGAATAAATTAAATATATACAAAGAACAATATAAAAAAATGTACTAATATTAAAGCTCCTAAGTCCCTCCACATTTTCTGTCCTTGTTGTTTTATCAACTAGCTAGTTCTTAAAGTGACAGGAAAACAAGGTTTTTTTAAGGTATCAAATTTAACACTTGCTATCGAAATACAAGCCCCGCTGTTCACGTCAGGAAAATATCGATATTATAGTGCTGACTTTTCCCAGCTCTAGCCAGCACGGTCACTTCAGAGAAAATTTTTTAGATTTTGTGAGCGGTTCTTCTCTTGGTCAAACTTCATTAGGTTGAAAGCGGTGTTTAGCTCCGAAACGCAATCAACGCAATATTCCGCTATTGAAGCCTAGTGCCACGGCCCTCTGCTAGTATCTCCCCCGCATTCGATCGAAAAAATGGCAACAGCAGCGAACACCGCGACAGCTGCCGGAGCAAAAGACGCCCCGCCAGCGCCCTCAAAGTCGTTGTCCGGCATTGTGAAGCAGGTAAGTCGGATTGGTCTACTACTCTGGGAAGAAGCTCGAGGCTCAGGATTATAGTGCGCAGACTCCTTGAAAAGAATGTTCGGTGAAACTAAAAGGTACTATCCTTCTATCGGCGTGGCAAACGCGGCAGCCGCCTGCCAAAGCAGCTCTAGTGCAACTCTGACAAGTGCGAGGGAGACGCGTATAGACTCTGTGCGTGTGTGACACGTTGCACACGCTCGTCCGATCCAAAGAAATGAAAGTTATCGTAGGTGCCAAGCTGGCAGATTTTCTTCGACGCTGCCTCTTTGGCGGTTAATGTTCTGTCTGTTGTTGATATTGAGGGACTGGTGGGGTAACTCGTACGTCCCCATTCTAACCATTACCGGCATTCTAAAACTGTATTACGAGCATGCAGCTCTTTTCGTCCGCCGTACGCGCTTGCTGAGAATTGATTTGTGTGCCGAACGGTTCGTTTCTAACCTCCTTGAGGAGACCGTGTCGGCACCCAATGCCCAAATTTATGAATGTAACTGGCCCTGGGTGCGGGTAGTTCATCATCTACTTTTACTTCTGGCTAGCTTTGTGGCCAGCGCCCAAAGTTCACAGGCCATTTTCAGTCAGCTCTGTTGCCCACGGCTGTGATAACAACTTAGTTCCCACTGGCTAAAGAGATTTACGGGCGTAATCTGGTTTTGGTGACGTCGGCACATTGCAACCAAAGAATACATCGAAATTCATTCAGTCTGCTCTTGGACGTTGTCCCAATTGAAAAAACCTGTTGATTGAACAGGTAATAGCTGACGCCCTCATAAGCAACACTAACTTGCATGTTTCCCCTTAGGAGTTGTGTGTTTGCTCTCAAAACAGAACCATTGTTTTCTTTTTATGTAGCATTTTTGTATTTAGTTCAGATTTGAGCAGATACCCTGTGCGTTTGTACGATGCTTCAGTTTTGGGCACCCTAAACCGGTTTGGCAACAAGTTTGTTTTCAGTTGGATTAACGGAATGCATTTGCAGTACGAATAAATTCAATAAAATACCATGGCTCACATTTTCCATAGGACCAACCAAGAAGATTTCTGCGCAGGCGCTGTCTGTTGGGAACTGCACGTGTTTTGTTAGTTGAATAGCACATCCATGCATTAGCTAGACTCGATTGTTTATTTTTCCTTTAATTGAGGGTTTTTTCTTTCGAAAAACATTAAAACGGCTAAAAAAAAAGGAACTCCCAATTTCACATGAGTCGATCTAAAATAGTCTACATATCGATAGTGATTTTGGTCACACTGGACCTAGATCCGATAGGGCGATCGTTACCATTCCACCTCTAGTCATCCCACACGTGCATTGGATTTTAACCTCACTCCTCGGTCTTATTCAGGTTCTCTCCGGCGACACTGTAGTAATTCGCGCAACTAAGGGTGCCCCGCCTCCGGAGAAGCAAATTACTTTCTCGCATGTTTTGGCCCCGAAGTTGGCCCGTCGTCCTGGCGCTGGCGGAGACGAGACCAAGGACGAGCCCTGGGCCTGGGAGTCGCGGGAGTTCTTGCGTAAAAAGTTGATTGGCGTGGAGGTGACTTTCACGTTTGACAAGCCTGCCAACTCGAACCGGGAGTACGGTTTCGTGTGGATCGGTAAGGACAAAGAGACCGGTGAAAATGTGGTCGAGTCGATTGTCCGAGAGGGCCTGGTGTCGGTCCGTCGCGAGGGACGTCCAACTGCCGAGCAGCAAACCCTCATCGAGTTGGAGGACCAGGCGCGTGCAGCAGGCCGCGGAAAATGGTCGTCCACCGCTAATGCCGTCGACAAGGTTCGCAATATTAAGTGGGCGCATGAGAATCCCGCACACCTGGTTGACATCTACGGAGGAAACCCCGTTAAGGCGATCATCGAGCACGTGCGTGATGGTTCCACTGTCCGAGCATTCTTGCTGCCAGACTTCCACTACATAACGCTAATGATTTCGGGCATTCGTTGCCCAGGAGTCAAGTTGGATGCTGATGGCAAGCCTGACCTGAGTGTAAAGGTGCCGTTTGCTGACGAGGCTCGCTACTATGTGGAAACCCGCCTGTTGCAACGCGATGTGGAAATCCGCCTGGAATCGGTTAACAACTCCAACTTCATTGGGACTATTTTGTATCCCAAGGGAAACATTGCGGAATCACTCCTACGAGAGGGACTTGCCAAGTGTGTGGACTGGTCTATGGCTGTTATGAAGACTGGTAAGCTCCGAATCTATTCAAATTAAGTTCGCAGCTCGCTTGCACAGCACAGCACTAAATTGGTAAATAACCTATGATTGTGCTGTTTACTGTTTGCAATCGGCTGCCAGAAAAACGACGGATTCCAAGAATTTTGTGACTGATCATTGTCGCTGCGTTCATTTCACCCCGTCGACATCAAAATCTATTAACTATTTTTCGGATTTCAACTGAAACTAATAAACGTCTGATTCTTCTTTTTAGGCACTGATAAACTGCGCGCTGCGGAGCGTTTTGCCAAGGAGAAGCGTCTGCGCCAATGGCAGGACTACCAAGCTAAAACTCCTGTTTTTAACTCAAAGGAGAAAGACTTCTCTGGAACAGTGGTGGAAGTCTTTAATGGCGATGCTATTAATGTACGTCTTTCCAATGGACAAGTGAAGAAGGTTTTCTTCTCGTCTATCAGGCCGCCGCGCGACCAACGCGCTGTGGTAGGCACCGATGGCGAGGAAATTGTTAAGGCTCCACCTCGCGGAAAGAATTACAGGCCACTTTACGAAATTCCACACATGTTCGATGCCCGTGAGTTTCTGCGTAAAAAACTGATTGATAAAAAAGTTCAGTGCAACCTGGACTACATTTCACCGCCGCGCGAAAACTTCCCTGAGAAATACTGCTACACCGTCTCGATTGGCGGTCAAAACGTGGCTGAGGCAATGGTAGCCAAAGGTTTGGCAACATGTGTTCGCTATCGCCAGGACGACGATCAGAGATCTTCCGCCTATGATCAATTGATTGCTGCCGAACAGCAAGCCATCAAGGGGCTTAAGGGACTGCATGCAAAGAAGGACAACGCCACACTGCGAGTTAATGACCTGACTGTTGATCATTCCCGAATTAAAGTTCAATACTTGCCATCGTGGCAGCGTGCTCTGCGTACTGAAGCCATTGTCGAGTTTGTCGCCAGCGGATCCCGCCTCAGAATCTTCGTGCCGAAAGACAGTTGCCTGGTCACATTCCTGCTTGCTGGTATTTCATGCCCGCGTTCCTCACGTCCAGCGCTTAATGGCGTTCCTGCCCAAGAAGGAGAACCATTTGGCGACGAGGCCTTGACCTTTACCAGGGAGCGTGTCTTGCAACGCGACGTTTCTGTGCATATCGACACCACCGACAAGGCAGGATCTTCAGTGATTGGTTGGCTCTGGACGGACAGCGGGGCCAACCTGTCAGTTGCTCTTGTCGAAGAGGGTCTTGCGGAAGTGCACTTCAGTGCTGAGAAATCTGAGTACTACCGCCAGCTGAAGAGTGCTGAAGACCGTGCCAAGGCCGCCAAAAAGAACATCTGGAAAAACTACGTGGAACAAGTGCCTAAAGAAAAAACTGTCACCGAGGAAGAAAAGGAGGACAAGGTAGTGGCGGAGCGCAAAGTCAACTACGAGAACGTAATTGTTACTGAGATCACCGAAACTCTGACATTCTTCGCGCAATCTGTGGAGAGCGGATCCAAGCTAGAGTCGCTGATGGGCAAGCTTCACGCCGATTTCCAGTCCAACCCTCCTATCGCTGGATCGTACACGCCTAAGCGTGGTGACCTAGTAGCCGCTCAGTTTACACTTGATAATCAGTGGTACCGTGCCAAGGTGGAACGCGTTCAAGGCAGTAACGCTACCGTTCTGTACATCGATTATGGAAACAAGGAGGTAAGTGTTCCTTCGACTAACATTTCAATCTCTGCAAGTTCCTTAGATCCGTTTCCGGCTTAAAGTGAAACGCATGAGTCATAAGCTTGCCAAATCAAATAGGCTTCATCGAATGATTTTATACGATTCGTGATGGCGTAAGCAAAACTCTACAGCTGCGTTAAATGTGTTCCCCGTTTCAAGTCGTGTGGCATCCTCTTCAACGGTACAAAGGTAGTTCCATATATTTTGGGTCAGCCTTTGTCCAAAGTAGCAGGCTTAAATACGCAAGAAACAAGAGCACAAAGTAGCTGGGGGCGCCAGAACCACGCTTCAAAAGTCTTCGAGTTGCGACACATTTAAACCTAAACTGTGTGTGATTTTTTCTAAAAGTATAAACACTCATTTCCCTTTTTAGACACTTCCCACCAACCGTTTGGCAGCCCTGCCTCCAGCCTTCAGCAGCGAAAAACCCTACGCCACGGAGTATACCTTGGCCTTAGTCGCACTGCCAACTGACAACGAAGATAAGGAAGAAGCTTTGCGTGCCTTTTCCGAGGACGTTTTGAACCATAAGGTTCAACTCAATGTCGAGCTGAAGGTGACTGGGTCGCCGCACTTGGCCACTCTTCGCGATCCAACTACTAAAACCGATTTTGGAAAGCAGCTTGTAGCCGAGGGCCTCGTTCTGGCCGAAGAGCGTGGGGAGCGGAAGCTCAAGGATCTAGTGGACCAGTACAAAGTTGCGCAGGAAGCAGCTCGGGCCGCGCATCTGGTCATCTGGAAGTACGGTGACATTACGCAAGATGATGCGCCCGAGTTCCGCTAAAAGATGGCTGGAAACGTGGAGTAGGCCTGTGGCGTGGAGCGCGTTGCTAGCCGAAAAGATTGTCTGCCACATACCCGCCCTTTATATACATAACAACAAGCAACAACTTAAAGAATATGAAATTACTAATTCTATCTATACACCAATATATATGATACATATACCACATTGGAAATACACAAATACATACATATGAGCAATGGCATGGAAGAACACGGTACACTTTTTGTATGCTTTAAGCAGCTGGCAAATTATTATTTGGTCTTCTAGTTTTTCAATCATGATCCTTTAAATAAATATTTGACACAACCTAGCAACAATTGGAACATTTTTAAAGTGCGTGTGCTCCGTAAAATATAATAACCAAAAGAGAACATCCTCTGATTGTGTGAAGCGTTCCAAACTTGTAAACCTCAACATTCATCTTTTAAATTTGCAGATTTTATGTTTTTGTAAAGTGTTTTTGCATTACTGAGTAAATACAATTAAATAATTTTTTAAAAACAAAAGCAGTACACTTCATTAGCGCTGCTCCAGTGAGTCAACCTTGTCGATGACACTTTCAATGTTGAAATCCTTTGGAATCGTCAGGGTTTTTTGTCTGTCCAGTAGGGCCTGTTTTGTTGCCAGCTGCTGACTGTTTCGCTGCACAACGACGATGTCCGGGATGAGCCGCTCTTCCGCAGCACCTTTAAATCTGCAGAAGAAAGGTTTGGGTCAGATTCGGATTCAAAATTTAACGGGATTGGTTCACCAATACCTCTCCAACATGACTACGTCCCTAGTCACCTCATCGATGGACGACAGGATGCGCTGCAGCTCTACGCGTTGCTGCACTGCGGTCTGCCGGTTTTCTATGCATTCCCGCTTCTTGGCGTAGTAGAAGTCGCGCAAGTAGTTCAGATTGAAGTCGTGGATGTGCAGAAGTGAATAATATTGGACGCATTTGTCAAGGAGCGCGAGATCATCGTCCGAGAAATCGCCCAGCTCGAGGCTTGCCAGCTTTAACTGCTCATCGTAGTGCTGGCCTAGACCCATCAAAGAGTTGACTTCCTCTTGGATCTTCAAGTTCTCTGCAACGTAGAAATAATTAGTTGTATAGCTAATGTTTTTTTAAATAAACTCACGCATTTTAATGGAGATCGCAAACTATCGATGGCACCGAAATCGATACTACCGCTTTGCTCAAAACGCACGCGTGTAGGCAGCCGGCTGGGAAATAATGTGGATTGATTTGGCAGGACTAGTATTAGTAGTTCTTCTCAACTAATCGTACCCAGGATTTTCTTGTTTTTGTCCTCAAATCCGAATCTGATTATCGCCGCCTTTTATGGACTGGCAGACATCGATACTCGCAAAATACAGTATTTCAGGGCTACGTAGCAAATAGGACCAATTCCTATTATCGAATTGAAATTGAAGAGCTGAGCGACTAAAGTAATTAATAAGACAGCTATCTAATTATTTATGTTGTATGTCTAATTTCTTTCAAAATAGGCCTTAAATACGAGTTTCGATTACTTGGCCAGTGTGACCGCGTCTCGAAAAATGAAAAAGGCCACGGCTGTTGGGGCAGAAGAAATAGTTATCAATTTTTCGCTAGTTCATAAAATCGATTTGTACTGCTATTTTTCTTTGTTTACTTTCATTGTGCAAATTCGTAAAAGACATTCATAATTATCGTGTTTTCCTACTCACCAAAGTACTGGTGCTGCGCAAGTACGGATGTATTTATATGCGTCGGCAAAATGTGAAATAAAATAAATGGCAAATCGATCGATTTTTGACAACGAAGTGGGAAAGTAGCGGTGTCTGGGTGTGTTTGTGCACTGCGACCAACCAAAATTTAGACGAGTCCTCTAAGTAAGAGGACAGAATAAAACCCTGTAGCTACTCTTCTCTTCTGCCATGGAGCACACTGCCTCGCTGCCTGGCTACGTTCGCGAGAAGCTCGCCGAACTGGACTTGGAGCTGTCGGAAGGTATACCTATTTGAATTTGAGCCCGTTTGCAATACACACGAAAATAGAATATTGTTGTTAATGTGGGACTGAGTTGTGGAAATCGCGTGAAAATTTTAACAGACGTACATGTAGTACGTCTGTAGTCTGGGTAATTGTCGCCCCAATTGGGGTTACAAGTGCTGTGCTCGGCTTTTCTTTCGCTGAATGCTACTCACATATAGTCGGGCACCAATTAAAAGAAAAGTGTGTGTGTTGTGTGCAGTGGCTCTCAGCCTAAGTACACGATTAGGTCGCTATTCCACGTTTTCCCAATAACAACAACGCCCAGCGGACATATTAAACGATAAGGAAATATTTCCATCTGCATTTCTAGGTGACATTACGCAGAAAGGCTACGAAAAGAAAAGGGCGAAGCTGCTGCAGCCGTTCCTAAAGAAGCAAGAAGGTATGTTCGCAAACTTTGGTACTTGGTCGTCGTCACCAGCTCCTGATCCTTCCTTTTGTGCACAGGCGACAAAGTGAAAAGTACACCGCCACCGCCATACTACAACGTTAAAAATGCCAACAACAGCAACAACCACGGAAACATCAATAACGACGGCGTCATTGTGTCCAGCGAGGGCTACAGCTATGTGACGGAGGTGCCCTCCCTGTCCTCCTCTCAGCAAAGACATTCCAAAAAAATCGACTTCCATCAGCAATCCGCCATGGGGTCGTCATCGACACCTCAGAGCGGAAATGTTGCAGCTCCCGGCTACGAAAATATGCGACCGCAGGGTGGAGCAGTCGGCGATCCCGGATATCAGAACACTCGCGAGCCAAGTGCTTTTCAGAATCAGCAGTCCAATAATAGTCAGCATCGTCAACGACGCACACAGCGCAAAGTGACGCACAATGAGAAACGCTATCATTCTGGTTAGTAGATCACCCTTTAAGCAACTACATTTTACTCTGAGCATCTGACCCCCAGAAGTACGACAAGAGGCCGTGCAACAGGCCCTTGCAGCTCTCAAGGGACGGCCAAAACCCAGCCTTCCAATGCCATCGAAGCGCACATCTGTATTAAACCGAAGCCCTGGATGCAATGATGAGCTGGACTCATCGACGGATGACGAATCCATACCCGAGGAAACAATTTCGCCCGACAAGGAGTACAATTATCCGCGGGATCATATAAGCAATAGCATACTGCCACCCGAACCGATAATTAAACCCCCCATTCGTGAATCATCGATGGGTTCACAACAGCATGCGCGGCCTGATGTAAAGCAGAACCAAATTCCAAATCAGAAATATACGGCACCGAATAGCGCTCCAGAAAGGCGTCCTCCGCAAAACTTACCTCCACTTGTGAGTAATTTTTTGTTTATAGTTACTGTAAGGGTATAAAAACTTTAATTTCCTTTTTTGGTCTCTTAAACAGAGCAATATGTGCTAATTTATTAACTATTTATTACACAGCCAACTTCAGAATCTTTAAGCGCCGACTGTCCGCCAATTGCATACAAGCGAGAGAATGACTTTTCGGACAAAGCGTTCAAACAAAAACAATGTAAGTAGTTTAAAGCAATTGAAAAAAAATGAATAAAATCCATAAAGGTGTAGTTCATGTGTTTTTTGTATTTTGATTTTTGTTTATTTATTTATATTGTAATTTTTTCTATTATTTTAGACAACGCTCCCGATATCACACAGTTTAATAATGCACATCGTGCTGCAGATCGAGTGACTCGATATGTTAATGTTTCTCAAAATGAACTGAACGAGGCAGATGCCAATGGCAAGTGGAAAGTGTCGGCTAAGATTCAGCAACTTCTTAACACCCTTAAAAGACCCAAGCGTCGCCCACTACCGGAGTTCTATGAGGACAACGACATTGAACTGGAAATTGCTGCCAATACGAAGGATCCCAATGCTCCCAAGCCGGAAGGCAGCACAATGACTCCTGTGCAAGGCGAGCAGCTATCCATACCTGCAGGCCTTCCAAGAACGCTCGAATGCGCACTCCAACGATATGGCACAAACTCGTTTAAAAGTCCCATGGCTACAGTGCTTGATCCGAATGGTAAAATAACAACTACCTTGACATATGGCAAGCTACTTTCGCGCGCACAAAAGATTGCCCATGCCTTGTCCACAAAAATATTTAGCAAGGGTCCTGAGCAAGTAACACTTAAGCCCGGCGATCGTGTTGCTTTGGTCTACCCTAATAATGACCCCTTAAGGTTAGTATGTGTGTTGGCCTATAATCACTCCTTAGATATTCTTCATTTCAAGCTATGCCTAACCAATATCTTTGATGTATTTTAAGTTGTATCCAATATTAATCAGATAACTTACAGTTTCATTACAGCCTGGTACGGTTGTATGTTTCGGGGTTTGGTACCCCTTCCAATAGAATTGCCGCTGTCTAGCTCGGATACACCTCCCCAGCAAGTGGGCTTTTTATTGAGTTCTTGTGGCATAACTGTAGCTCTTACCTCAGAAGCTTGCTTAAAAGGTCTTCCTAAATCAACCACCACGGGGGAAATAGCTAAATTAAAGGGCTGGCCACGTTTGCAGTGGTTTGTGACTGAGCATTTACCTAAGCCGCCTAAAGAATTCAATGTTGGCAATTTACGGGTCGACGATTCGGCTGCAGCTTATATAGAATACACGACAGATAAGGAAGGCAGTGTTATGGGTAAGTCCAACATACCCAAGTATCCACATATGAGCATACACATTATAAATCTGCTTTACAGGTGTCACTGTTACTCGCGCAGCGATGATCAATCATTGCCGTGCTTTGACTATGGCCTGCCATTATACCGAAGGCGAAACAATTGTGTGTGTCCTGGATTTCAAGCGTGAAGTTGGTTTATGGCATTCGGTCTTGACTTCCGTCTTGAATGGTATGCATGTTATTTTCATACCATACGCATTGATGAAACTGCGTCCATCGAGCTGGATGCAATTAATAACAAAACACCGAGCTTCTTGTTGCTTGGTTAAGAGCCGTGATCTACATTGGGGCCTACTCGCTACAAAAGATCATAAGGATATATCGCTTTCCTCTCTACGTATGTTGCTGGTAGCCGATGGAGCCAACCCCTGGTCGTTATCCTCATGTGACCAGTTCTTGAGTGTTTTCCAAGCAAAAGGATTACGCTCAGATGCGATTTGTCCATGCGCCAGTAGCTCTGAAGTATTTACTGTTTCCCTTCGGCGTCCTGGGCGGGGCTCTTGTGGATTTAGTCCATCAGCTACTGGACGTGGTGTGCTTTCAATGGCAGCACTATCACATGGAGTTGTTCGCGTGGACAGTGAAGACTCATTAACATCACTCACTTTGCAAGACTGTGGTCAAGTTATGCCAGCTGCACAAATGGTGGTTGTTCGATCGGAAGGACCCCCTGTGCTGTGCAAAACCGATCAAGTCGGCGAAATATGCGTTACTAGCGGGTCCACGAGCGCCAGCTATTTTGGTCTCGACGGAATGACAAATTCTACTTTTAAAGTTCAGCCTTTATTGGAAGAATTGGAACAACCAAAAGATGGAAACGGCACGGTGAACATTATTTCCAAACCAATTGGCGAAGACTTTTACGTTAGATCAGGTCTACTGGGCTTCCTTGGCCCGGGTGGCTTGGTCTTTGTGTGCGGTTCCCGCGATGGTCTTATGACCGTTACCGGCAGAAAGCACAATGCGGATGACATTATTGCCACAGTATTAGCAGTGGAGCCAATGCGCTTTATTTACCGAGGACGCATTGCTGTATTCAGCATTAAAGTTTTGCGTGACGAACGCGTGTGCGTCATTGCTGAGCAACGTCCGGACTGCTCTGAGGAAGAAAGTTTCCAATGGATGTCACGTGTTCTGCAAGCAGTAGACTCCATTCATCAAGTGGGAATTTACTGCCTGGCACTGGTGCCACCGAATCATTTGCCCAAGACTCCTCTTGGGGGCATACATTTATGCGAAGCACGACGAAGATTTTTGGAGGGATCCCTCCACCCAGCGAATGTTTTAATGTGCCCACACACTTGTGTTACCAATCTACCAAAGCCACGGGAATTACATCAAGGTAAGTTCTGCGAATGCTTGGCTTTGAAAAATTCTTACAAATTGGCTTTGTTGGACTTTCTGTGCTTTATTTACCTTAATAAAATACAAATATTGCTTTCCTCTATTTTTAACCACCAACCCTTCAACAATGCTGCGATTACTTCTATGACCACATCAACACTCACTGCAAAAACCAAATAACAACACTGTAATATATCGACAACAAACACAAATGCCAACATAACTAATGAAATCGCATAAATTATTCACTTCTGTAACGAATCCTTGTACAAAACCGATAAATCATTCTACTACTAACCATTCCTCAAACAAATAAGGTGTGCAAACTGCCGCAAAATTAAGCTCATCATCTGGATGTGGTATTACAGACACGGGTGTAGGACCAGCCTCTGTGATGGTTGGAAATTTAGTTCAGGGCAATCGCCTTGCTGAAGCCCATGGACGGGATGTTGGATTAGCAGAAGATTGCGAAAGAAAGGTTGGTCAACACAATTCTACTGTAAAAAAATGCGAGTATAAAATTGTCCAAACTTTAACAGCCTCAACTTATAACCGGTGTGTTGCGTTGGCGAGCAAACACTTCGCCCGATCATATAATATTTACACTGCTGAACTCTAAGGGTAAGTTTGGTTCGTTTTTTACATAAACGAATTCTAGACTTGCGTTTCAGGTGCCATCGCGAAAACACTGACATGCTCTGAATTACATAAGCGGGCAGAAAAGATAGCGGCATTGTTACAGGAACGAGGAAGAATTGAGCCAGGAGACCACGTTGGTAAGTTGTTCTGTGTACACACTGTATGAATGTTAATTTACTCCGATTTTCCCGCAGCGCTAATATTTCCTCCAGGACTTGATTTGCTGTGTGCATTTTATGGATGCCTATATTTGGGTGCAATACCAATAACCATTCGGCCTCCTCACCCACAAAATTTAAATACCACATTACCCACTGTTCGGATGATTGTTGATGTCTCTAAAAGTGGCATTGTACTCTCCATACAACCGATTATTAAGTTACTAAAATCTCGGGAGGCCGCAACCTCCATTGACCCAAAGACATGGCCCCCTATATTAGATATTGATGACAACCCAAAACGCAAATATGCTGGCATAGCCACGGTCTCCTTTGACTCTAGCGCCTATTTGGACTTTAGCGTATCAACTTGTGGACGTCTTAGCGGTGTTAACATTACGCATCGGTAAATTAATCGATTTGAATTGTAAAAATATGATTGTATTCATGTCTGCCTATCCAACAGATCTCTCTCTAGTCTGTGCGCCAGTTTAAAATTGGCTTGTGAGCTGTACCCTTCTAGACATGTTGCTTTATGTTTGGATCCGTACTGCGGCCTTGGATTTGTAATGTGGACTCTTATCGGAGTATATAGTGGCCACCATTCTATACTTATCGCGCCCTACGAGGTCGAAGCAAATCCCAGTTTATGGCTGTCAACTCTTTCGCAACACCGCGTTCGCGACACTTTCTGTTCATATGGTGTAATAGAGTTATGTACTAAAGCCCTCAGCAATTCTATACCATCCCTAAAGCAACGAAACATAGATTTGAGATGTGTACGGACGTGTGTCGTGGTGGCAGAAGAGCGCCCTAGAGTGCAACTGACCCAGCAGTTCTGCAAGCTCTTTCAAGCCCTTGGACTGAATACTCGCTGCGTGTCAACTTCGTTTGGATGTCGTGTAAATCCAGCCATTTGTGTCCAAGGAGCTAGTTCTGCGGAAAGTGCTCAGGTGTACGTGGATATGAGAGCATTGCGAAATAACCGAGTCGCTTTGGTGGAGCGTGGAGCGCCAAATTCGTTGTGTGTAATTGAATCGGGTAAACTTTTACCAGGAGTAAAAGTGATAATAGCTAATCCCGAAACCAAGGGCCACTGTGGCGACTCGCATTTGGGAGAAATTTGGGTAACACTTTGCTAAAGTCATATTCATCCCAACAAAACTAATTCATGAATATTTTCAGGTTCAAGCTCCTCACAACGCAAATGGATACTTTACAATTTATGGTGACGAAACTGACTACAATGATCACTTCAACGCAAAACTAGTAACTGGGGCCACCTCAGAGCTATATGCACGTACTGGATACTTAGGATTCCTACGCCGCACCGAATGTTCTCAATCAGCATCCCTACTAGACGAGACCACACCAAGTGTGGCAAGTCGCGATAGTGATACGGAATCTTTGAATTCGATAAGTCAATTGCAATTAAATTTTTCAAATGTCTCTCTGGGTGGAAATTCCGAGCATAGCCTAATAGGCGGCGCAAGCAATTCTAATGATCAAGAACTACACGACGCAGTGTATGTCGTCGGAGCTGTTGATGAAGTGATCTCTTTACGTGGCATGAACTATCATCCAATTGATATCGAAAATTCGGTAATGCGCTGTCACAAAAAAATTGCTGAGTGGTAAGACTTTAAAAACGTACTTGTTGAAAGAATCACAAGTTATTTTTTTATTCAGCGCCGTGTTCACCTGGACTAACTTATTAGTCGTTGTGGTCGAGTTGGACGGCAATGAATCAGAAGCTTTGGATTTGGTTCCCTTGGTCACAAACACAGTATTAGAAGATCATCAGCTTATAGTTGGCGTTGTAGTGGTCGTTGATCCAGGTTTGTAAAATGAGTGTGTCCATGGACTTAGATTTTGAATATTAATTGTGGTACATTTTGTGTCTAGGTGTGGTGCCTATCAATAGTCGAGGCGAAAAGCAACGGATGCATTTACGGGATGGTTTTCTAGCCGACCAACTGGATCCCATATACGTAGCATATAACATGTAAATACACAATTATTCTTATGATGAAATCGCCGTATTAAGAAACGTTAAAAAGCGTTGTCTTCGTATCTTAATTCAAAACAATCGCAATCCACAAAAAAAAAAAAAGAAATGGCTCATTTTGGTAACGCACGCATAATTACACATTTCCTTTTAGAGTATTAGCAAAGATGGTAAAACATTCTTACAATAAATTGACTATTTAACTTTATATGACCATATAAGTGACAGCAAACATTTAATATTTAATAATATTTATATAAGTTTAAATAAACCACAATTTACACAATTTGAAGTGTTTACTTTTTCACGCCATCTTCCTCCAGTATGTAAATGTTTTACAAATATGGTTGGGAAATTGATTGGTCATGGCCCGGAACAAAATAATCTTTTAAAGGGTATCAAATTGAGCAGATCAACATTTGAATGTTTTTCACAGTTTTAGTCTCCTTTCTTATCAATTGGCTTTGCTTATAAAGAAATCAAATAAACCTGATTTAATATAATTATAAAATTAATGTTATATTCACGGCGATCGTAAATTTGAAGTAATGTATTAGAATTGTACATCTATGTGGGACTATTACTAAGAGCTTGCATCTCTGTGCCTTCAATTTCGTGGGAACCACGATCATACCACCACCTCAATATTATTGTGCGGCGCCTTCGCACGACGACAAAAATAAGCAGTACCCAAACTCCTTGAAGTCCATTCACCATGTCGCAAAGTATAAGGTAATTAGAATTCGAGCCAGAGTAAAACGTTATTATTTCGAGTATCCAGCTTACGACCATTATCTTTCCAAGTAAGCTGACGCATTTGGCGCTAATGGCAAAATATTAAAATCATTTGATGTCTTAAGACAATAATAAATACACTCACTCCTTCTTAACATCTTCATATTTTTGTTTGTCAAACAAACCATTTCTCCCCTGGATACTTTTTTCAGCCTCGCCGCTTATACGTTGAAATCCGAAGAACGATATGACGTTAATCTAAGAATGTAGAGTTGCAGAAAACCAAAAACTGGTAGGAAAAAGTGCTTACCAAAAAACTGAGAAAAAGTATAGTAGACACTGGAGGAATAAAGTAACGTTGGGAGTCTCGTATGGATTCCGTGAGGCCTTTAAATAATACATCTATTATTAGTTACATTCTGGATTATTATTCTTTCCGTTAATTACTTGCCTTGCAGAAAGTAAGACGGCATTCCAGGCAATCCCTTTTGAACAGTAAGTGCGACTATTGTGGCCGGTCCAGAAAAAGCAAAAATTGTGTAACACGCAAAATTAAAGGTGGCCCAGCTCTTTGAACACTGAATGCAGCAGGGCAACTTGTACCACACATTCAAGAGAACATTGAAGCATATGCATAGGTACCAGAAGAAATAACTCAAAATACAAAACTGTATGACGTAGCCAATAAATCCTTGGTTCGGGATGCCATATATGTGCACCACGGAGTGCACAAAGTACCCGGACGCCAAACACAAGGACATCAAACTTAACGACAGGCCATGCAAGTTGCGCAATAAGCGAAGTTTCATGTGCAAATAGCTAACTAAAAGCAGGCAGGGCATAGATATAAGCATCAGAACAGCAAAAAAAATGACCTGAAATAATATTCATCCATTGGTAATAGAAATTCATTTTACATTGACTTACTTTAGCGAAGGCAATTTGTTCTTCCACTTGGGTAACACATGTAAAAGCAAACAAGTGACCTGACTTGTCAATATCCAAGCAATAATGCTCCTTCACTGTGTACGATTCGTTGCCAAATTTGTCGACGATTAATAGGGAACCGTCTTGTAAAACGAAGAAAACGTCCTCCTCGTCGTCGTACAAGAGAGAACTACATTTGCAGAAGAATGTGTTCTTTGCTAAAATATTTAATATCAGAACTTTTCCTCTCGATCACATACCTGTTACACGGATTTCCAATGTCGTAGTCCAGCTTAGTCTCAATCTCCAAATCTTCGATGCAGTTATCATACAGAACTGCACTTATTACAGTCGGTTCAAAGCGTAAAAGTCCGTTGTCACACATGGAATCGCTCTGATTTTCCCGATTTATGTTTAGGTTTTCTCCATGTGGGCAGCATTTTCTCAAACGGGACGTTTCTGTTGCAATTGGCTGTTTTCTGTATTTTTCCCGCTGCGAACAGTCCGCAGGATTTTCTACAGGACTTTGAGCAGGAACAAGGCTTGGGAGCGTAGCACCTGTAATAGTTATAGTGGCTTCCGTCGAATATGTTTCAGCTGCAACCGGTGTTGAGGATATTAAGGCGTCCAGCACGTCAGTCGAAGAGCTATTTAATGTGTCTTTATAGAAAATACTGAGGGAAGAGACATATTTAAGAAAACAAACAATATTAGCAAACTATCCAAGTAATAACTTCTCAAGCACAATTTTTTAAGCATTTCTTACTTTGAGTTATTTGATGCCTTTAAAGTGTTGTTTGCAGTGCTTATCTGTGCAGATCCGTGGGAAATCGTTTGTAAAGTGATTACAGCTAGGAAAAAATTCCAGTAGCCCAAAATCATATTGCTTTTTCAACCAATCTACAAATAAAATATATAATATCAAAATATAATAATATCAAATAAAAAATATCAAATAACACAAAATTGCCGAGTTCGTTTACACAGCATGCATGTAAACAAACCAAATTTTGACATTAGTTAACAAATGTGGGTAACTGGAATGATATGGGTTATCTTATCTACGTATGTATGTATGTAAGATACAGAACGAGGCGTTATCCCTATAAAACACATGACGTCAGACAAATGTGGTAGCACATTCCTTAGAACTGATCAATTACTCGGAAAATTACACTCATCTTTCACAAAAACCCCGTTAAATGTCAATTTTTACGCACTGAACATGTTAAGTAAAACCTTGTTTATAACAAGTCTTATTTTTAAAGAAAAACTGGTAATGGCGATTGATGTTTACGTACATGTCCAAAAATTTAAATTTGCTATTTAAATGCAACCACTGAGGTTGATTTTTAAAGTAATACTAGCGAAAAAAGTGTTAGTATACTGCAATAGAGTCAGGTTGTGCAGGTGATAAGATAACAATGTTTTCAGGGCTTCCAAATAACGCGTTCCCCTACATTTTTTATTTTTTGACTTATTTAATATATTAGTATAATAATTTATTTAGTATTTTAATTTAATGCGTAATATTCCCTTAGGGCTCAAAAGTCATTACTAAATTCAAAATATTGGTAGGTCCAATGCAATGAAGATAAGATTAATAAGAAGATAAATAAATGGTGATGTTTTATAAGCGGATATATGCGTGTATGAGGGGTTTCTCACAACACTATAGTCCAAATAACACAATAAAAAATATAAAAACACTTACCGGTAATCCATAAATCGTAACGGCATCTTATTATCGATAACATTTTTAACAGACATTTCAGTGGTCGGCAGCACGCAAATTTTAATAGGCGCCAGGACTTAAAATGCGATCTTTCACCTAAAATTGAGTAAAAAGAAATACATTAACATTTGAATCATTTTGTTTTTGAGAGCAACCAATTACCTTTTGATTTTTTGAATAGTGAATTAGGAGTTTTTGATTTTTTTCACCACCTAACGGTTTTCCCGCAAACGCTCGCAAAACGCCTCGATCAAAATCAAAATACATCTGTCAGTGCGGTTCAGTGTAAATGCCAAAAGCAACCCTGTTTATATCGTTTGAGCAACCATAAGCTATTAATTCTCCCAGCCGACCGCAAGAGGACGCTTCTGACCCCGCGCTATAGAAGAGTCGCTGTGATTGGCCGACTGTACACCGTCTTTAGCTATGTTCAGAACTGTAATGTTAGGTAAAAGTGTCTTTCGCAGTGTGCTGAAGATAGTTAAAAATATTTGAATATATCGTGTTAAATCCTGTGAAATTATTCCCCAACATGCTGGGTAATTTGCGCAATAAACCCATGTGTTAGTTCTGAATGAGGAGTGTCATTTAAACAGTCGCAAAAATTTTCACCGTTGCTTAAATGGCGGACAATGTGCGTTGGCTTCATTTCCTCGCACTCGCACACATACAAGCGCACTTGGTGGTGCTGTCCAGTGCGTTCGCCGTCCAACACTAGAAGCCAAGAATGTGTTTTGAATACATGTACTTAATATATTTAATCGAAACCGTCATTCTGAACTAAACAAGCTCTTTTGGCGGCTTTTTTTAAACTCCAAATTTGCGCATTACGAACAAAGTGAAAATCCAACGACAAACTTCTGACGATCTGATCGATTTTTTCCCCCACATACGCCGTTGAGTGAATGTGTGTTTGAATGTGTCCCGTAAATACATAGCTGGGTGCGAGTGAGAAGCGGTGTGCGTTCCCTGTGGCTCCGTGTACTAATGGGTTAATTTTCGTTTCAGATCTGATGTGCAGCTCCGCAGTGATAACTTGGAACAATATCTGAGGAGAGTACCCCCCACGCACCCCTACACAAAGCCAGATAAGTACGCAAAGCGAAAACAAACAAGATGAGCGGTCGCGGCAGCCGTAAACGTGGACGTCCGCCAAAGACGCCCAACGAACGCGCCTCAGGACGCTTCAATTACCAGCTGCTCAAGAAGCCAAAGTATCTTAGCGAGGGAAAATCGCAGCCCAGCACTCCGTCGGCGTCCAGGGGCATTTCTCCGCAGAGCGACGAGGGCAGCAGGAGCAGCCACAACAACCACACCAATCACAGCCGCAGTCGCGGGAGCGCTGCTAAGAGGGGACGAGGGCGCAAATCTGCCGTGCAACCGAACACCAGCAGCTACTCTGGGAGGAAAGGTGGGTTAAAGGGTCACCTACACTCGAATTTGGTAGTCAAGGCTTTCAGTTGCCTATTAACGAGTTCGAACATTTATCTTTAGTCGTATTTTGCTTAAGTTTTCCTGTTCGCTAAGGATCTTCCACTTCCTAAAATAACGATCACGAATTGTATTGGCGTTCCAAATGTTATCCCACGAAATACTTTATGCTGCGCGAAGCTTATAAGCCTGAACAATTTAATATATTCGTGACGACCAACACCGTCTGTTCTTATACGAACGAATATTTTTTGAATCTTTCGACATGAAATCTTTCAGTCTATTTGGCATAACATTACTTACAGAAGAAATTGGGTGGCAGTATGACAGGTTTTATGCACGGGTGAAATCATATTGGTTCTAAGAGCTGCTGTTCTTTTTTTCAGGGTACGAGTCGGAGTATCACTACGGCTCAGATTTTGGAGATTCCGAAGAAGATAAATCCGATAATGAGGATGATATGCTGCTTACACCCAGTGACGACGAGAGCATAGAAGTAGCCAACGAGAGCGAGTCAGAGTTTTCCGTGTGCAGCTTTAATCAAAATGGAGTTGGTCGGCCGCCACGTCCTCCTAGCCCAGAACCTGTGTGGCTGCAGGAAGGTCGGCAGTACGCAGCGCTTGAACTGCCCGATTCGTCGGAGGATCTTTTCATTGCAAATACACACGTTTTGCGTGCGCTCAGTATCTATGAAGTACTGCGACGATTTCGCCACATGGTCCGCCTTTCGCCATTCCGATTTGAAGACTTGTGTGCAGCGCTGGCTTGTGAGGAGCAAAGTGCATTGTTGACGGAGGTACACATAATGTTGCTTAAAGCGATTCTTCGAGAAGAGGACGCACAGGGTACTCATTTTGGACCGCTGGATCAAAAGGATACTGTTAATATAAGTCTTTACCTGATTGACTCGATAACGTGGCCGGAAGTTTTGCGAAGCTATGTGGAAAGCGATAAGACGTTTGATCGCAATGTGTTTCACATTTTAAGCCAAACTGAATACCCGTACACGGGCATTGACAACCGGCTTGAAGTGCTCCAGTTTCTGTCAGATCAATTTTTAACTGCCAATTCTATACGAGATGTAATGCTGCAGGAAGGGCCTATTCATTATGATGACCATTGCCGCGTATGCCATCGACTCGGCGATTTATTATGCTGCGAGACGTGCCCAGCCGTCTATCATTTGGAATGTGTTGATCCGCCAATGAATGACGTACCTACTGAGGATTGGCAGTGCGGGCTTTGTCGCTCGCATAAGGTTAGTGGCGTAGTGGACTGCGTGCTGCCGCAGGAAAAGCAAGGTGTGCTAATCCGGCATGATAGCCTGGGTGTTGATCGTCATGGGCGCAAATATTGGTTTATTGCACGTCGCATTTTTATCGAAGATCAGGAGGACTTCACATGCTGGTATTACAGTACGACAAGTAAGTTGAAATTACTGCTCCACCGACTGGACCCCGAAGAACTGGAAACTCGTCTGCATAGCCAGATTACCGAGCGACGAGACGAAATCGAGCGCCAAATGAAACTGACTGAGACCTTAACCAATGAACACAAACACACGAAGCGTAGTGTTATCGAAATCGAACAAGAGGCTACAAATGAAATTTTGGAAAAAGAGGTACTCGACGAGGAAGAAAAAGATGTTGATGCTAAATCTGAGGGTCAATCCATAGAGGGAACAAAAAAACAAGAAGAATGTAAAATGGTCACGCGTCAAAAATCCAATCAGCTGAGTAATGGTACCTTGCATTTTAAACTTGGTATGGAGCAAGGATTTAAAAATTATGTTAACCAGTATTCAGCCAATCCAATTGCACTCAACAAGCCGCAACGAAACGAGGAGCGCGATAAGCGACGACATCTGTCCCATAAGTTCTCGCTAACGACTGCTTCTGACTTTAAATGGATCGGTATAACCATGGGAACTACTGACAATATGATAACAACTCTAAGGCAGACATTGATAAACTTCGAATCCAATATAGCAGCTTCCTTTTTGAATACCAACTGGGTAGTTAACAAAAAAATTTGGAATGCTGCGGTGATGAACGCCCGTCGTCCATCTGACTTTGCCGTCGTGTTGCTACTTTTTCAAGCGTCCCTTAAGAGCGTCGTTTTTGCCAACGTCTGGCATGAGCAACTGGGGCACACAGCTTTGCAACGCATAACTAGTGCCGAACGAGAAGAGCGAAAAAAACTTGAAAAGCGAGAGAAACGCGAGCGGGATGATGAGGAAGAACGTAATCGCTTGGCATTTAACTACATAAAGTATACCCTGGGTCTTAAACATCAAGTCTGGAAGCAAAAAGGAGAAGAATATCGTGTTCACGGGCAATGGGGCTGGCTTTGGCTCTCAAGTAGTCGACGCTGTGGTGTTCGTGCACGGCGAGCCCAACCACTAGTACACAATAGAGTCTACGTACATTACACCATGGGAGAGGAGAGCGAGGTCAATGAAGTTATTTTAGTCGACCCACGCACCCAACGATTTATGCAACAATGTGAGTCGAGCAATGTTGATGGTCAGGTGTGTCATTATTTACCGGACCAATATAAAAATGTGAAAGTTATAGAAGATGTTAAGGAGAAAGTCAAAGGGCACATCGACGTTAGCAAAGCGCTAAATGCTCCAGGGCGTACTTATTACTCGAAGGTGGCTCGCAAATGTCGGTTAGATGATCTATTGGATCGCCGTATAAAATTGGCCGAGGTTGAGGAGCAGATGGCTTCTAAAGTTGCTTCTGATGTGAAGCCGCTTCTTGTTTCTTCCCAACAAGCTACAGCCAACAGCAAACAAACGCTTCTGGAGAAGCGTTTACTTCGCCTTACTGAAGTCCAAGCAAAGGGGGGTCCTGCAAACGTAAACTTGGAACTTGTCAACTCGCTGGCTAAACAAATTCAAACAGTGCGCTTACAATTTAGTCAGCTTAATCGATTTGCTAAAGTTTTTCGCTGCTACACAAAGGAGTGTAACACAAATTCAAATGCTGTGTCTCAAATAACCCAAAATACTTGCTACTCCCCATTATGTCTTCAAAAAGCACGGGCCAAAAAAGAACTTTTATTGTTGCTACGAAAGGCGCATACTGCCGGTAATGGCTCAAAAGAGACAGTTGCCGCCATACTAGGCGCTGTTAAAAAGCCATCTATTCTCGAGCAGAAGCTGACGGAGGGTAAGAGAGAATCCACTCAGGTGACCGTGGATGATCCCGAAGAGGGGAAGCCAACTGAATCCGAAGCGCCGTTGGATTTACTTCAAGATTGGGAACATGCTCGAGCGCACGCCGTTCAATTTACCGATTCTTTGCTAACCGAATGCATGCTGGTTGACCAGGACTGCGCCACCAGCACGAGAATTAAACAGGAGGGTGATGCCAGTGCCGGAAGCAATACAACTACTGACTCTAACACACAAGACTCCGATAAAATAGACTATATTGAGAGTATGGACGTTTGCAGTAATGTTGAAATTGAGAGCACCGAAGACTCTATTGTAGCGGGCTTAAACTCCAGTAATGCCGAAGATGTCGATATGACTCCTGGATGGCGGCGAAAGCGTAACCAGAAATCTAAAAAAAGCTATATTGGCACTAAAGATGTGCTGGATCAGACGCTGGACAAGGATATACCACTTAACAAACAGAACCGCAGATTTCCTATTACTGCACGTCCAGTTAAGCGCGAATGTGTGAAAAAATACGAACGAGAGTATTTTGAGAACGGAACCGAGCGAGTCTATTCCTCTAGTTCACCTCGGGGTCGTGTATACCTCCTTAATGACGCAGCCAAGTTGAGTGAGCAAGCTGTAAAAGCTGAGGAAAAGTCTACCATATCAAAAAAGCCATACTCTCGATACCCACTTATATCAAATTTTCTTACGCATAAGAAAAAACGTAGCCTGTTAGTGCTACCACGATTTGAGCTGCTTAAGCTGGCTCGTCTGGGTGGAAAAACATCTACAAATGGTTTTCATCACGCTGCGAAAAATAACACAATTTGGCAGTATCAGTGCTCGCGGCCCCTCTTCCGAACCTGCTGGTCCTATCGAACATCTAATGCCACGTCGTTATCCAGCCTAGCACTGCAGCTACGAATACTGTGGTCGTGCCTCCGCTGGGATGACATGATAGCAAAGCCTCCATCGACGGATGGGAAGCATCAGGTTACTACGGATACTGAAATCGTAACATTGGAATTGCTCAAACTTCGCCACACAGGACGCTATGGCGAAAAAACAAGCTATTTGCGACGAAAAGTTGTTATTCCACTTGAAATGCCCAAGACTGTGAGAGGTGAGAATTAATGTGCATTTACATGAAGGCATTCAAAATTAATTATTTATTTTTCGTTCTACAGAAGTAACATCCATACGATCTGGACTGCGAAAACGAAAGCGTGCTGAATCTCCCCAGCCAACCGAGCCACAAATTAGCGAGGAATGGGTGGATGAAGATAAATTGGAGTTATGGGAAATTAAATTTATGGGAGAAAAACAAGAAAAGGCACGCCTATCAGCTGTAACGCGATCTGTCGCATCTCGTCAATTGGAGGCAAGTGGTAGTAATGTTTCCAACACTTCAACCAATGGAGCTCTTGGCGGCGCTGGACGCGTCCAACTGGCACCTAAGTCGAGTGAAGATGTTAAAGAAAAAATGGAACAACAATTGAAATTGCAGCGCGCCGTTCATCAGCAGAGAAAATTGGTTGCAACTGGCGAAGTCACCCGTTCTGTGACACCAGGTAAGCTGTTTTAAGTTTTATTCATAGGGAGGATCTAAAATACAATTACTTTACCATTGCAGTTAAAGGCCAAGTTATCGGTAGCAGGCGTGTCATTGTTAAAAACCCTGATGGCACAACTCGAATTATTCAGCAAGCAGTTACACAGGTTTCAAGAACAGGAGGAACTAATACTGCAGCAGCAGCTGCTTCACCTGCTGTAGGAGGCTCGACAAGCACTCAGTCAAATCCATCCACATCTACACCGCATAAAGTACAAATTATAAGGGGCCCAGATGGCAAAGTAAGCGTACGCGGATTGAATCCTGGGCAGCAGCTAGTTCAAATGCCGGATGGAAAACTCCATGTGCTGACTACCACTACATCTTCAAATTCGGCAGCGCAGGGTGAGTCTCACTTAATAAGGCTAAAAGTAATATTTTTAATATTACAATTACTATTATCATTTCTAGGAAACAAAATCAAGGTTCCCATCAAGCCAACTTCTACTTCGTCGTCGCCAGCAATTAGTTCAGCACAGACTACTACAAATCCAGGGACGCCTGTGATAAAGCAAATTGCAGTTAAACATGTCACGAAAAATTCAGCGACTCAATCCATAGCATCGTCCCCGCGCGTAGCCTTACCGCTTGCTCAAATTAAAAATAAGTTGTTACTGGCTCAACAGCAATCACCATCTTCATCAGCAACAACTTCATCGCCCCCCGTGCAGAAGATAGTGTCGAAAGTGGTTAACACGAGTTCCTCTGGGCAAACCGTACAGCAAGTATTCGTACAGTCTGGGTCCAAACTGGTAGTAGGGCAAAACGCACAAGGGCAAAAGGTTATAATATCTACGTCGACTGCACAACAGCAAGGAACATCACCGGTTCAACAGCAGCAACTAGTACAATCTCAACCAATTCAACAGTCACCACAACAGATCTCAATGACACAGGTCGGAAATCAACCAACGCAAAAAGTAATTCAGCAAATTGTTAATACCAGCAACGTGCAGCAGCAGATAGTAGTTGGCGGCCAACGGATTATATTAAGCCCCGGTCAAACTATTGTTACTCAGAGGAACGTGCCGCAGAGTCAAGCATTGCAGATGGTTCAGCAGCAGATTCAAACCCAGCAACAGCAGCAGCAACAACATGTTGTCCAGCCTCAACAACAATTTGTTGTTCAATCAAACCAAATTGTACAATCTTCACCAAGTGCACAAACCAAACTGGTTAAACAGCTTGTGGTTCAACAACAAACACAGCCAACTATTGAAGAAAAAACACAGATCACCACGACTGATGGCAATGAAACTGGCACACAACAAGTCCTGGTTCCAAATTCGACTTTAGCCCAGCAGTTAGCACAGGGCAAATTACAGGTGGCAACTGTGAATGGGCAACAAGTCATCGTGAAACCGTTGGGAAATAATCAGGCTCAAATCGTGGCACATATTAAACACCAAGGTGACGGGAACGCTCACATCGTTACAAGTAATTCAGCCACTGCCGTACCTCAAGCAAGCCCACAAACTTCACCAGTCAAACAACAAGCTCTCCCATCACAAAGTCCACAGCAAGTCGTTATCCAGCAGCAACAAATCCATCAACAGTCACCAACAAACTTCGAAAGTGGCGTAACCCCAATAACTCAACAGCCGGTTGTCACCCAGACTGTCCAGGCTCCAGCCCAACAGCAACCCTTGAGTGTTGAGGAGAGTCTCCTCCAGAATCAGCCGCCTGGAACAGTAATTAAATGTGTCACCGCTCAAGTATTGCAAACCGAGCATGGTCCGCGTATAGTATTGCAAGGCCTCGTAGGCAACGATTTCACTGCACAGCAATTACAATTAGTGCAAACGCAGGTGAAACAGCAACTAATGAAGGGTGTGTAATTCAATTGTATATTTTGTTATCTTGTAATATCTCCCATTTATATTTTAGCTCAAGAGTCAAATGGCAAACTTGGTGTTCTGGGCCCAACAAAAATATACTTGGCGGTACAGCCGGAAAATGCAGTTCAATCACAGCCGCCTCCTCTAACCCCTGTTCACCAATCGGCTACGCATCAGCAAGTGAGTAGTTTTTAGTTATAATTATAATGTGAAAGGATAAATGAGGAATAGGACAGGACTGTGAGGGTTACATTTGCTGATTCTCGACCGAAATGCCAATTTGTTTTTTGTTCCATCTTAAATTTAAGTTAAGTCTCTTATTTATTGAACGAGAGCGGCATGTTGCTGCTTCACTTGCACTTTCTTTGCGTTTCGTTTGGTACACCTAATTTGTTTGTTTGTTGTATTTTAATGAACATAAATTAAATACATAGCGTTTCCTAATTTATATACATTCCTAAGCTGTAAACAATAACTTATATTTTCCAAGTACAGCAACAGACTTATTGAAATATGAACCAAGGCTTACTATTGCAAAATAATTATTCAACAAGCAATTCTCCACACAGGAGCTCGATAGTTAGAAATACATGATACCATTTAAATAATAAAATATGACATATTTATTTTGATTACTTAATTTAAATAATATAAAAATGTATTTAGCTTAAAAATGTGAATACCTTATTAAATATAAGAAACTATTACATAGTGAGTAGGAAGCACATTAAGCATATTAACTTAACAATAACCCAGACTGTCACCTAATGTTTAAAAACAAGGCAAAAGTATTAGAACAACTTTGCTCCGATTAGCTTTTCTTGCCTGAGGGACATTTGGTTTCTTAGTAATACATAGAATACATGTAAATTGTAAAGCGCTTTTTGCAATAAAACCTATTATGCAACCACACTAGTTGTGACCAGCTCTGTTTCTTTTCTACGAATAATTTTCGAAAGCAGTCATCCAGTTATACACTATTATACACATAGTTAAACAAAATCTCAAATGTTTTAATCTTTAAAAGTAAAAAATAATATCTTTATAAAGATCGTTCAGATTGGTTTCGCAAGAAAAAAACCTTTCCGAGGGTGTAAAAGGTTTCTTTATTTATTGGAATTAATTTTAAACCAGAAACCACAAAAAAAGTTTAAGTACCGAATTTATCTTTGCAATGCTGATATCATAAGCTTAATGGAAATACTATGTTACAAATGGCGGTAACTATTAACTAACTACATCCATTGAGCCGTGAGCCGTGTATGAAAAAAGATAAAGATATAAATGAAACGATTACAATGGATTTAGAAAGTGAATAAAAATGGAGTATCATGTTGTATTAAAACAAGAAATTTTTTGGTTTAATTGTTTGCTATAATTATTTCAGCTCATATACATACACACTCTATAAAATCTGCAAATGTACGAATTTTTAGGCGTGTGTCTGATGTTATAAAATTGTATATTCCTCCTAACAAAGTTAAATGTCTGTAAAACTCCCGAAATCAATGACCACAAAGAAAATATGTTTAAAAGTTTGTAAATTTTTGTTTCTGAATTAGTTGGATGATTATTTGCAAATTGGCCTTTGTGTTGACAAAAAGCGCATGCTTCATATATAAGTAAGAAGAGAAGTCTGCAAACATATCTTATAAATCTGTGCAAGAAAAGAATTTATACAGAGCTAATAGACTATAAATATTAATCAGATATCAGTTGAATTCACTTTAGGATTACAAAATAATTGGTCACAATTTCAATGGCCAAGTCCAATTTCCATTTTAATTCAAATCTGATTTGAAATACGAACTGCTGAAGAGATTAACCCCACGCAGAGTTTTAGTTGACTGGCATATTTGAAGTTATACAAATTAAAGGCAAGTCTTGTTTTTTAAAATGGAAAATGAAGGAAAAGATTTCTCCATATAAAACGCATGTGCTAATGTCGCGACTGAGCTAGTTTTTCTGATATGTCCTTTAAAATAAACACAAAGGCTTTACCATTTTTATAATCATCTCATCTAAATCGAAACGAAGTTTACACTTGTCCAAAATTAAATTTTGCAATAACACGGCTTATATACACCTATCATATCCTTACACCAGTTTCATAGCATTTTAATCTCTTTTACACAAGTTGCATTATAATTTGTAACCCAATCTAAATACTATCCTATCTTTGTAATAAAAGTGTCATATACCTTAAAATCAAATTCATGCTTCCACTGCTTAAAAACGTTTAACCATGCCATAATATCACGTGTCAACAACTTCAACTCCTAACCACGTGTTAATCTCTTCGCCAACTACAACAACTACAATAAAACACATTAAAAGGTTGCCTGGAGTAAATTCTACAACTGATCTCTGATTAAAGTCAGGTAGGTGTGTTCGTAAATTCTGTTACTTTGAGCTATTAGTGTATCCGTTCATATTAACGCAATAAATTTTTGGATCTTGAATATAACTTACATTTTTGGAAACAATTAGGTTGGTGGCGGCGTATCAATAGCTTATATGATGAATTCGAATTATTTTGTGCAAGAAATTGAAGAAGAAGATTATGATGATGAGATTATTGTCGTCTGCAGTCCGCCGAATCAAATTGTACATTCACCCCCATGTGAAGTATTCAAAGGTAGAATTTTAAAAAGTGATTTGCCGTGCCGCACCAACAATAGTTGTAAGCCAATTTTGAAAGCAAAAAAAATTAAAAATTTATAATCTAGTTCTAGTTGAAGATCAAGACAATATTGAGCAGCATCGCCTAAAATATGAAAGTGAAGACCTTAAACGATGTTCATTGCAGACCAACAACATCGAAATCGACGCCGATACGCTAGCAACAACTTACGAAGTCAATCCCACTATTAAAGATATTGCCATTAATAATGGCAATGATCAGGAAAACAGTAAATGTGCAGAAACAGAAAATTCTAATATTACAACTAATGAGTCCTTTGCCGGTACATCTTCCCTATTAGAGGGTTCAGAGCATAACGAACCAACTAATCTTGCCGACTTCGATCTATCAGAAACAGACTTAGAAAATAAACAAAACGAAAGCTTCGTTGTTACCAGAGGATACATACAAGAGTGTAAGTGTTAACAAATGAAAAATAATGTTTTTAAAATAATAAGTTCCATGAATTTCAGCTATTTCAAATGCTCTCAAACAAGGTAATCTGAGTCCGGAACTTGAAGAAAAACTTGTTTGTATGCAGAAGCAACAAGAAAATGCGAATTCTACGAATGAGTGGGAAACATGCTCAAGAAACAGTGTAAATGAGGAAGCACTTACTCCAAGTCGCCAATTCATTGACACTGAATGGAAAATTCGTACTTCGCCAAGACGCCCGAATGCTATGACCACAAGCAGCCAATTTAATCGAATCAAAACGAAAAATCGAAGCGTGAATGACGAAGTCGCTGAACTTGGAGAGCAAAAGCAATCGCAGTTGGAACGTCATAAAGAATTGCTTAAAAAAAATATTTTGCGTAAGCGTTCCTTATTAGAGCGTAATTTACAGAGCGAAATACACGAAGATGTAAAAATTAAAGTCCAAAGACATATATGTACGGTAAGTAACGCTTCACCGGATGAACATAGCGAAAATGAAAGAAGTGGCGAACCCAATTCAGATTTTAAACGGTACGTATACAAATGGTCTTTTGAGCCATTAGCTATATATTTTATAAAAACCAAAACAAATCGCAGATCAGAGGCGCAAAACCCCAGACATGGCGCCGGCCGACCAAAAAAGTTGACAAGAAAAAAGGAAAAGTTGTATTGTATTTGCCGTACTCCATATGATGACACAAAGTAATTATAAATGCACATTCCTAACGCATTGTTAATTAATATATTGTAATTGTCCATGTAGGTTTTACGTGGGGTGCGACTTGTGCAGCAATTGGTTCCATGGGGATTGTGTCAGTATTACCGAAGAAGCTTCTAAAAATCTATCGGAATTTATTTGCCTCGACTGCAAGAGCGCCAGAGACACGCAACAGCTCTATTGTAGCTGTCGTCAACCATACGACGAGTCACAATTTTATATATGCTGTGATAAATGCCAGGATTGGTTCCATGGCCGTTGCGTTGGAATACTTCAAAGCGAAGCTGAGTTCATTGATGAATATGTTTGCCCTGAATGCCAACGCAAAAACGATGCTTACGCTGCAAATATGAAAAAACTGACTCCAAATGACATTGAAGAGCTGAAAAACTTAATCAAACAGATGCAGGTGATGACTTAATTAAGGGGAAATCTATATTTACAAATTTATATACAAAAAACAATTTTAAATTTGTTTTTATTTGGTGTTAGAATGACCAACAAATAGTATAATTTATGGATTAAATATTCGATTTATCTACAGTTACACAAAAGTGCTTGGCCATTTATGGAACCGGTTGATCCGAAGGAAGCACCCGATTATTACAAAGTGATTAAAGAGCCAATGGGTATGTAACATAAAAACACATTTATCAGAAAATTAATAAAATAAGGTTTCTTTCTCCAAAGATCTCAAACGGATGGAAATTAAACTCGAATCAAACACCTACACAAAACTAGCAGAGTTCATAGGCGATATGACAAAAATTTTTGACAACTGCCGTTACTATAACCCGAAAGAATCGTCCTTTTATAAGTGTGCTGAAGCACTAGAGTCATTCTTTGTGCAAAAAATTAAAAATTTTCGTGAAAATGTTTTTGGCCAAAGAACATAAGAAATAATAGAAACCCCTGAAAACTTTAGAACAAATGATTTTAGTTTATAAAGACACTTCTAACAATTTGAAAAGCGTGATTCAGTTATGTATTCTTATTTTGAATGAAATGTTACACATACATACATATTTTATCAATAAAAAATACTTATAATTAATTATAATAAACAATGTACATATTAACCGTATAAATTGGAATGACTATTATATGTGTTGTAATTGAGATTTCAGTAAATTAAACCGGTATGCAAATAAATTTCATATTCATTGGATTTTTGAAAGAATTAAAATATTTAAGCTAAACCCCTTTGTACAAAACATTAAAATGTAAATAAACAGCATGCATTTGATTTGATATCCGTATCATATGTTGTAGGTTTTATCTTAGGCGTATGTAACTTGTAAAAATTACACGCTTACAATAAATACGTGATCAGCATAAAATTCATTTTGGAAAAACTTGCATTTGCCTTTTTAGATTTTGGCTTACTCCTCATTGGGCTTTTACATCCACATCTAATCGGAAAAAACACATACTTTCTTAAATCTAAATACTTTAAAGAGCTTATTACTTTTACTAATCGTTATCCGGAGAGATAATAGGTTCTTTTCAGAAAAACTACAACAAAATCTTCATTTTTTTGTATTTGCATTGAAACTTTTTTAAGCTCTAGCAGAGGGTATTATATTGTTACAGTCAGAAGTTTGCTAGGCAGTAAAGGTATACTTTGCTATCATATAAAGGATATAACTTATTCTTAATCAGTATCAGCAGACGCTGCAAAATTTGCAAAATTACTACGAAAACCAGTCTCTCAGTTATAAAGCTGAAGCTTCTCAAAAGTCTTTCGATTGCAGGTGGTAGTATATAATATATCTAACAGATTGTTGTTACGTTGCGTAGGCGTTACTATACCGCCTAAAAGTTGTTTTATTTTACGATTAAGGGGATGAAATACTAATCAACTATAGACTTGTTGCCATGGAAAATATGCATTGCAAGTATACAGTTGAACAAATTTATTGGCAAGTTAAACATCTTAAAACAATGGAGCCTGCTAAAATAATTGGAAAGCTGTAAGACTTCAGCACATATTATAAGACATTAAATAGCAGGTGTTATTAACAATTTTAGAAAGGAGCAAGTGCGCATGGAGCACAATTCGCGTCGTAGTTTTCCAAAAACGTGGAACGAAATTTCTGGCAAGCAAACTAACAAGTTCTACCACCAATCTGAGATTAATTCCCAACTAACTAACCAGCTGAAATTAAAAGGTAAATGTCAGTATGGGCTTATAATTCTGCATTCATATACACTACCTTATAGAGCTGTGCCCTTTTCTGCACAACAACCAAGGCGAATCGCGATTCGTATCTCCGGGGATGTACAAACCTTTAGTGGCTGTCTGTCGTTGTGGCCGACCTAGGGAAAGCACCCATATGGGGAAATGCTTACAGAGAGCGTTAAGTCCAGATTACAAACAAGCCATGATGCAGAAAGGAGCTCAGGAATGGAATGCCGAGCCATTGAGTGTGCCTTCCACTTCAAGCTGTAAGTAGTTTCCCCATATTTAATAAAATTATTATTGGTTCAATAAAATAGCGAGATTTTCAGCTACCATTGGCTTCATGGGCATTTCGAACAACTACCAAAAGCTGGAGCGTTCTATGCAATATGTTTCGCCTGCGTATTCAATGCCTGGCCCTCGAATTACAGCAGTCCCTTACAATAATATTATTATTGGATAAACCATCACGTTTCTTGTTCGAAATTTCCAAACCAGGTTTTTGACGAATCAAATCTGGGATTTCCCTAGCTCATCGCAGACTTAATCATACGATACAGAACTGGATTTTCCAGACGATTGTCCGCCTTGGAAACCTGTATTCAGTGGCGTTCCCATCCTATTTACTACTTTGTATATTGATTCACTAAAATATAACTTTCCAGTTATGAAGATACAAATTTACCCCCACTAGTGAATTCTGCAAGCCCCTGCCTGTTTTATACTGCGGTGTTTAATGTATGGATTGGTGCAGCCGTTTCTTAATCGTGTTTCAGTTTCGCTCGAACAGTGAATGAAAGAACATACGACTATAGCTCGAGGATTCGGTTAAAAATGTGCATCGATTGGTATACAATGTTCATTTTGGCTGGCTTAACTCAGTTGGGCGCAGGCCAAGAACCATTAATTTTCGAAACATCTCCCAACCCATGGAATATTGGCGCAGCAACGACGTCAATACCACTTTCGCCCACCAGCTCAAACTTTGTATTGGTTAACAATGTAAGAATACCAGGAGGTCTAACACCATTCGTACCAGCACCGGCCCCAACCCAGGAATTTCTGAAATGCTATGGTAGCTGTCCCACCACGTCGCAATACAATCCCATTTGTGGGAGCAATATGCAGCTTTATATGAACGAGGAAAAATTCAATTGTGCTCGTATCTGTGGAGCTGGTGAGTCCAGTATTTCCAATTTTCAATCGAATTTATACTTTACTAATCGTTTTCAGACATTCAAATTGTTCGAAGAGGGTCTTGCGAGGGTCTTTTTGCGATGACGCGAGGTTGATTCCTTTAACATAACATTCCTTTAATATAACACATTAATTTTCAGTGATGTTTTCAGTTTGAATATTTATTAGGGCTCAGAGATAAGACGCCACGTAGTGCATATCAGCGCAAAAGTAATATAAATAAAATACATACATATGTACATTCAAATGCTAAACAAAAGGGGATGTTATAGTCGAGTTCGTCGACTATCAGATACCCGTTACTCAGCTAGTGCGAGAAAGTTCCAAATCCTGTTTGGCATATCGATAAGAGTCGCAAACAAAAATTAAATTAAATTTAAAAAAAATGGGCGTGGGAGTTTTTGCTGTTTGCGGGCGTTTGGCTTTGGCATATCAATTGAAATTGAAAAAACAAAAAAAAAATATGAAAAAATTTCAACACATTTTTCAAAAGTTTGACGAACATGGCCAGCTCAACTCCGCTCTTGATTCTGATCATGAATATATATACTTTATAGGGTCGGAAATCTGGTAGACAAATTTTATACAAATTTAGTATACCTTTTTACTCTACGAGTAAGGGCTATAACAATCAAGATAACCTGGCTTGACGCACTTGTAGACGCTGTCGAAATGGATTCCCAAGACAGTTCCGTTCCGAGTTTCAGAGAGAATACTTGCAAAGATGGAGGCGACTTATCAACTGCTCGTAATCTTGGGTACAGTTTACTGAAAACTATACATTCATAAATATATATTATTGTGTGAAAGCTACTTCTAAATACTCGTTTTCTGCTCAGCTATTGTTTTTGGTCATCTGCAGTTCCAGTCTATGGTACTAGCTGGCCCTGGTTTCCGTAGTCCAAATGCTAAAATCTTCACGCCCGCCCGCACCTATGGCGGGGGATTCAATCACTCGACGGTTAACTCTTTCAAAAATACCAATTGGACTGCGCCGGCGGTTCACCAACCTGTCCTCCAGGCACCCGGATTTACAATACCTGCTCAGAACCGATCGTGGGCTCACACTCATCAGGGTACTCATGGCGCCTTTCCAGGTAGCGTTCCAGCGCAAGCAGCAGGTCTTTCCAGTGGCTGGGCGTCCAGCAATAATCACCAACCAGGAGGAGTAACTGGCTTTTTCCAACCAAACCCATCCCAAGGCAATGTCGGAGTTCCAGCATTTGTCTTTGCCAAAAATAATGGAACGTTTTACTCAAAAAATAGCACAAAAGTCTATGGAAGGACTAATCCTTATGGAAACCTTTCCATTTGAGCAATTATGAAACTTTCCCAATAAACCAAATTATAATTTTCATTCTTTTCAAAAATCAATTTATTGTGCTCTTGAATCGTTGCATGTATTAGGATCATCGGCATAAGTATTGGGGTTGCTTTCCGGTATTCCAGAAGTGTAAATAAATGTGTACTCAATGATGATTTTCCATATAAGGGATAAGTCAGGGATGCGTATTTTTGGAGGCGTGATTACGCTGATCACGCCACCTTAGTATATCAGCTTTGAACTATCAATAAATGGAGTGACACGCATGTATGTGTAATGCGATTTCTGACCAATTTTGCCGAAAAATTAAACCGATGATCTTTAACCGAAGAGGATCCCTCGCCGCCGTCAAAAATTCCCACGCTGCAGTCCTGTACTCCCGCGCTGCCGTCCGTCAAATAAGAATCCCACGCCGCCGTCTAATCTCATAAGAATCCCACGCCGCTGTCCAGAACCACGGATCCCTCGCTGCAGTCCCGATTTCCGCCTCCCACGCCGCAGTCATCAGCTTCGTCAACGTAAATTCCAGTAGTTTTAAGAATATTATTTCTAGCGCCCTGGTCTAAACGCCCTAATAATCCCACGTTGCTAAATTTAACATCCCTCGCCGCTGTCTGAAGTTCTCCTAAGTCCGTCGCCGTCGTCGAGAGCCGAACATCCCACGCCGCTGTCTAAATTTACTCCTAAGCGTCGGTGGTTATAGTCTGAATCCCACGCCGCAGTCCAATTTAGAGAATCATTCTTCAACAAATCTAATATCCTCACGATGGGTCCTCACAGAGAAAAATAATCGACCAGTGTGTAGCGAAGCGAAAGATGTACGCAATCCAACTTTAAATTGGTTCGAAGGGGTACGGGTTGAAACAAGGGTTGAAGTCGTCATCAGTGCCGAAAACCGTAAAGAATTAGGTGCTATCCCAAGCCAGCATTGCGAAATCGAAAAACGTTTGCGGGTCGATGGTGCTTAGCGAAGAAATGATACCTCCAGCCTACTTGTTGCTCCAAATGCAGATTATGAAGAATGATCCGAGGAGGGTTTAAGGACTTCTCATATTAAAAATGACCAAAGCGTGTGTGCTCCTACGCCGTGTGGTGTTCTTAATATGCTCCAAATAGACCCAGGATGCGAATTTTGGTGATTGAATGCCCAGTGAATACGGGTAAAGGTAGAGTGTTCAAACTCGAAGGTATTGAATGTCAGCACTGCCTCCGCCTGTGTATGCTTGCTCTCCCTGCCTTGGTACGGGTGTCAAATGGTCCTTTGCAGTTTGATACGTCTATGTACGCTGCGTCCACTTCATCCTACTGCCATTAATCTTGTGCTAAATGCGGTACTGATATTTAACTGACTCTTGCTGCTACTTCTAGACCGGACCGTCTATCCTAGGGTAATGCAGTCCCGATGCAATCCTCAGCGAAGTCGGATGTCTGCACTGACTCTTAGAGGAAAGGTTTACAAGCAATAAATTAAATGTTTACAAGCCGACAAAAGAATGAAACGATTCGTTTAGAATATACAGATTTTGAAACACCAAAGGAAAAAATTAACAGGAAATGACTTCAAAAATGCTTGGTTATTAATGCATAAAAAATCTTTTGGATCTGTGTCTGAACAGCTCGTTACTTTGATTAGCAATCTGCAATATAAGGTTTAAAAAAAGCTAAGAAGAAAATAAAATAAAAAGGTAGTCTTCAGTTGGTTGTACCGCGGGGCGCGTGTCTCTTGGATTCCCTTTGAGACCAACATGACGAATATGAATGGAGGCGCGCCTGGCATAGCCGCCGGATTCAGTCCCGTGCGGATTTGTTTGTGAGAGATATCTGAAAAGCGTAATTGCACGGACTAGAACTCTGCTCATATTCGTATACCTTTGTTTATTAGGTGACCCTGCCTGCCGCTGTCGCTGTACATCGCTTTGGATTCCCTTTACGATAATAACACTGAAGCGAAGAACTCGACCCAGGAGCGCAGTTGGGAGCTCGGCTTAAACCAGGAGCTCAACAAGGAACTCGACTGCTGTAGTACCACCTCGCATTTGATTCCCTTTTGCGGTAACGATGATCGGCGGGCCAGGAGTTATGGGCTCAACTGGCTGATCGTGGCGCGACTCATTGGACACCCAGTTTGGTCTTCGAACACTAATCGCATTTGTTTCCCTTTGCGATGGATATGGGGTTTCTCGAATTCTGGGCTACCTACGGAAGGAAAGTGCAAGTAAAACGACAACCCGCTGGTGAGAGAACTGATTTGTCCTTCCTGCGCTCCGTTCTGCAAGTCTGCGTCGAAAGTCTTCAACTGTTGCTGGTGACAATCTTCAGATTTGAAATCGAATGCTTGAGCACAAATCGTTGTTGGTTTCCCATGTGCGGTAAATGACATGCCACTCCGGAAACTTCAATGTTTGATGTACACTGCCGACCGCTAAAATTGACAAATGATAGTTACCGACGCTAGGCGAGGATACCTGTGGAGCAGTTGCAGCAGCAGCCCTGTAACAACGACAACACATCAGCTCACTTCACAGCGAATACTGGTGATGGTGCGGTGCAGCGGCTCTCGGTCCAAACGCATTTGATTCCCTTTAGCGTGGACCGAACGCACATATCTGTGCGGTGCAATGCAGTACGTGCTTAGGTTCAGCTCAGCACATCATGGCGCTAGACTAGCGCTCCTATTATGGCTCTGTCCCAATGCTCGTGTAGATCATGCGACCAAAGGCACCCAAATCGGACTCGGTCAGGGCCTGATGCGGTCAGAACCATGGTTACTCCAATTATTAGGAAGCTCTGTGCTGGTAGTTGAATTTGCACTAGAAGGCTTCTTGGCTGCAATGTAAAAGCGTAAAGTTCATTGTCAGCGCAGGGAGCATTAACCTGGTTGTTGCTTGCTTTCGGTGCTCGATGCTCATTTGACGTATTGTGCTGGCTTGCAGAAGCAGGTGCGCTTGAATTGGTTGTCGTTGTAGCGCAGGTGAGCTGTGCTTAGGAAGAGAAGCCTAACTGGATGGACTTGATGCATCGTTTTGGGTTCCCTTTAACGATTTGCAGCAGCACAGCAGTATACTCGGCCAGCTAGGAGAGATGCACATCTTCATCAACGGAACGGTCCACTTCCCCGCCCTTCGGTTCAAATATTGCTAAGTCGATGCCCACAGGCACACTCAACTGTGCGGCACCGCTGTAAGAATTGTAAAATACATTTAAGTCTGCTTAGAATCTCACTTTGGGAAGGGTCAACGATCCCCGGCCAATCCTAGCGACGCCCAAGACAAACGTAGTTTCTGTTACAAATAATCCACATCCTGGCCAGAAAATTGCTGAAAAACAGGTGTAAGCGGGTTCTAGTTAGGTTCTCAGACCTGACCTGCGAGTTCAATTCGAATTCGACGTGTAGTATGGATGTTGGACTGCGACGACTTAGTGTTGGTGTTATTGCTTTCAAGTTGGCATTTGATTCCCATTGCCTCAAGAAATTTTGCTACATGTTCTCAGTTGGTTTCAATACAGGCAAATGTGCACAGGTGAGTCAACAATGGGATAGTTAAGACTGGTTGCATGAAACCGATGTCTTAGTATAAGCACTGCAATGAATTCATAAATAAGCTTCTAGGTCATTGGGAAAGAAGATACACTTTAGTATTAAATGCGCAATGTAAAGATCCAACCATTTCATAAACGCTCTGAAAGTCCCAAGAATAGACGGTTCGCTGTCGAATTCACTCAGAAGCTATAGATGAGATGTGGGCAGGCACATTCAACTGCAACAGCTACAAGACAGAAAAATGTTTTTCTCCATACTTAAATTCAATTTGTGTCGTCCAACCACGTGGTACAATTCCATAGCATCTTTACTGTTTCACAACATGTATTTCTATAAAATACGAGAAAAGGATATCGATTGCGCAATCATTTCAGAGGCCATTGTAGAGATTTGAGTCTGATCAAAATGTTCGAAGGTTCACTGTTGCGTTGGACGTCAATAACTCATGATATGCAGTCTTTGAATATGGGCAGGTACATTCGACTGCAGCCATAATGCTACAAGACAGAAAAATTGTTTGGACATAAAAACAAAAATTTACATGAAGTGGGCGGGCCGCCCCTTAGCGGCGACGTGGTAATTCCCTGTAGCTTATCAGTCCATGAAAATGTATTTCTACAAAATACGAAAGAAAAGACATCGGTTGCATTTATCTTAGCTTTTACGCTTGTTCAGTTGATCCACGCATTAGGTTGTTATGCTTCTTTGCATGTAAACTGAAGTAAACCTCGAATTGGGTTAGCTGTCGCAGGAGCCATCCGCAATGCGCTAAAAATGTAACAGCAGCATTTTGATCGAACTTATGTATCAAACACAGTTTACGCTTTATCTAGTATCTCATTGATGTTTGGGGCCATAGAATTGAAGAGCTCAATATTCCGCCTCGCACGGTTCCGTAAATTCTTGCCCGCAGGCACCGTGCAACCGCGATGCAAGGCTAAAAAAATAAACGAAAAGTGATGGTCGTGCCTAGTCTACGAACTCTTTTACGTGTGCTCCCGTTTAAATTTTCTTGGAAGATCCTCAGCTGGTGCCCTCAAGACCGTGAATACTTAAAGAGCGCAGAGTAATCCCATCGAACAAAAGCACACACAGGAACCGATCAACTGTGACATGCAGCTACAAAGATTAAAACGGCCTTATCTAGCCTATTGATTAGGAAGATGGGGAGTTCGAATGCCAATGGTCCAATAATGGCTTGCCAAAATCATAAATGGTAAAAGGGAAGTCCAGCAAAGTGTACCGAGCGAAGAAAGATGAGAAACTCGACGCCTGCCATTCAATTGATTATCACAAGAACAATTCCACACGGAATACACGCGCTGTGATGACAGGAGTTCCTCGATGTTGTTTCGATGATATATGAATGATCCGATGTTCTTTTCTCTGGAAATTTGTTTAAAAAGCAATATTTGTTCGCAGCTGATATACCAAATACCGTGTATCTGTGCGGATGGGTGGGTGGTGATCAGCAGCTGCGAAGCGTTCAATGCAGAATAGGTGGTGATTGTCGGTGGTTGGCAACAGCACGAGAGCTTCAAACGCAGGTAAGCTGATGCGAGCTGGAGCTGCTGCCGCGCGCATTCCGCCTTGTCCCCAATGTTCTGTCCGCTGCGACTAAATTGCATGTGCATTGGCATGCAGAGGAGACTCGGTGGCGTTTGCTGCTGCTGCTCCCTGCTCCGGCGATCTGTGCAGAATCGGCCATCGGCTGGTTTGCGGAACTCAGTGCCTGGCGGTGGAGGTGGGGGTGACTCGGACAGACGTTGAGACTCACTCAGTAACTCTACAACGCAACGCCATCGTCACTGCGACGATTGGGTTCGGGATTCTTCTTTACCAGTACCAGCCATAGTCGAACTATTGTTGCTACCGGGACACGGATGCATTCAGTGGCCCACTGCGACGTAGTTTCTTGTTTGTGTTCCGTTCCTCATCATCGTTGCCATTAACGTGCGAGGAGCAGGAAACTGCAAAACAAAATTGATTATAGGTGCGGGTTATGTCAAACAGGGAGGGGGTTGGTGCTTGCTTAGCAACAAATCTGAGTCTGGTCTGGGTGAATAATAAATAAAGGCAACGTTCATTTAAACAGTTATTAATTACAATAATTTTATTTTAGGTTTTATCAAATATCAGTTCTGTATGCTTACTTTAAATACATTTACAGTTTATAGTTGGGTTTTTGACTTTCACTCGTTTAACTTTGCAATATTGCCCGTTTTCTAGCGCTAGTGATTCAATATGAACCGTATGTACTATTTCGCAGAAATGGCGATGACGAACGTTCGAACTGAATTCGAAATCGAATTTCTCGACACATCGGACAACAAAAGTAGCTCAACTTGGTGTACACAAAAATAGCACGAGCGTTCATGCACACACACCATCACGACATGTACATGTATAGATGTGTATGTATTGTGTAAGTGTTCGAGGTTTCTTTCTTTGTCTCTGTCTAACCGATTTCGTGACGTTTGGAATGCCCGTACGTTTCCTCTTATTTCGCCACACTCATTAAGCTACGTAATTTAACTAAAAAAATTAACTTATTTACAAACCGAGTGTGCTCCGGGACCAATGCCTGATGGCTTTTCGCATGGATCTCTGGTGGCAGCGCCCATGACTCACACCACTATCGATTCGAAGGCCGTTTGCTCAGCGTCTCTTCACACTCTTCCAATCCTTCATTCTTTCTTTACAATCTATAACAGCCTTGCACATGTTTGCGACTGCAAATGAGAAATTGGTTGTCGTAATAAAACTATTTTAACAGAAGACAAATATGGCTAAAGCTACGTATTTGAACAAAGGTATATGGTTTGATTCGAGCGAGCAGCTGAAAACCAAACGGTTCTCCACCATCCTGACGCCATTTTGTGTATATGGATAGGTATGTGTCAGCCGTGTATACACATATAGTGCGGTCCATACGGTCATCTCTCTCTCACTAACTGGCCACGGCAATGGCGCAGCTGAGCTGTCCATTGTTGCTGTTATTGTTATTGCTGGCACCCGTGTAACTGTTGCTCCCATTGTTATTGTTGTTGCTTGCGCCGTGACTGCCGCTGTTGCTGCTTAAGCTACGCATAAAACTGTCGAGGCTACTAAGCTCGCTGCTCCATAAATTACTTTCCGCCTCTGCTTCCGCGGCAGCCTTGGCGCTCGAGGCCGCCACTGCAGGGTAGGTGTCACTGGCGCAGTGCGTCCTGCCATGTGGCACGAACCGTGTTTGGATATCCAGCCAGCGGCTGAAGCGCTCCTGCTGCTTTCTACGCAGCTCGTGTTCCGCGTGGAGCAGGGCCGTCGACAAGATGGCGTTCACGCGTAGGTCGCTGCCAGCGCCTCTCAGCTTGCGACGCATTTTCTGGCGCTTAACGCGGAAGTTACGCACCCAGTCGGTCAGAGTCTTGGGGTTCTCGGCAGCGTCGCACTCGTCGTAGTACGCCACCATTTCGACGATTTTACAGGGTTTTTGTTTGCGACGACACGAAGAGAAAATTGAGAATTTGGTATACACACACCTTCACTACGTAGTTGCTACTGATCTCTTGGCGTACTGCCTACGACTGTTCTGTTCAACGCACACTTTTCAACTGTGTTGAGCGCGTCGACTGCGCGCCCTTTTATAGCGCTGCCCGCACCAGCTGCGCGTTTTTCTTGTCACGGCGTGGATTCAGAGACTGCTTTTTGGGGACGATTTCTGTACAAATGCTGGCGCTACGGGTTGTGAAGAGCCCACCGGAACACGCTCTTGTCTCTTAAGAAGCGATATTCCGCTTCATATTTTAGCGATATTTAACGGCATGGCGAAAAATTTAATTTTAAAGTAGTGCTTTTAAATTTTATTTCGAGTCGTCCATTTTTAATGTGCAAAAAAGGTCCTAAAAAATACCACATCAGTATACTAAGACTGGATTGCTTGGGAGAGTCTCACGAGGGGTGATTAAAGTCTTCTTTGAATTTATTACATATACTATACATATACTATTGATCTGTTATGTAAATAAAACAATTTATCATAGTCTTTTAGCATTACTGAACTGCAAAAGATCCAAAAACCATATCACCTATAGTTTTGCAGCGACGTCGACCTATTGCGGGCTATTTCAAAGTATTTTTTATATTCACACGTACATCTCCGTGCATTAGTAATAGATCCCTCAAAGAAAAGTGGGCCAATAGCGTTAAAAACACCCCACACTGGTTCCACTTCAGACAATAGCCGCAGTGATGCCACTATTTTGCATCGCTTAAAAAAACAGTGTTGCCATTATACTCCACACGGTTAAAGCCGCAGTGATGCCATAATATACAACTCTTTTGAAACCGTCGTGGTGGCACTACGCGTAACGTATTTAAAAGCGCAGGGCAGCCACATACACATATCTGGTTCTTCTGTACACAATGACTTTTCGATCGATGGGACATCCTCAACGAAATACTACCCCTAACTGGCATTCAATGTATTTTGAGTTGGAATATGGCGGGCTATTTCACAGTATGCTTTATATTCACACGCACTTGCTAGCTCGTCCGTGTGGCAAGTAGACTTGCAATGAACAACTGCGAAGTGCTGGCACTGGAGGCCGAGAGCTGGAACGTTCGGTTTAGTTCGCCGTAAAAGTTTGCTGCCGTCGGTCGTGCACCTGATTACGGTATCCAGTGGCAGATCAGTAGATGAGTAGATCAGTGGCAACTGCGAAGGTAGATCGTCGGGGGAGCAGCTGCGAACGTGAGAAATTAGCACAGATTGCACACCAGCGGTGCGAAAATCCGACATCCAGATATTCCAACAAATATCCAAATAAACCGTTCGTTCGCACAAGTGAACGTCGCACACATGGCGCAATATCGCACAAATTAGGGGCACAAGAGATTTTAAGTGTCCGCACATATTATTGGCCCGGGGATAATTATTTGCGTGCCATGACTTATTGGCGATCGCAGCCCATCTCCGCGAGTTAGTAATCGACCCCGCCAAGACCAAGAAGGGTGGGCCGACCCGAACAGCAGCCGGAGCCAGTCGGCCGCAGCCAAACCAAAAGTTTATTGTTGTTTGGGCCACGGGAGTGTAAACAAATCGCAGCGGACAGAAGTGGCGGCGCTAAGATGGAGAACGTGCGCTTTTCAATTATTGTAAGTAAAACGAATTGGCCTACAGCCGCCTGCAATTGCTTTGTTTGTGTTGGAAGGAAAACGACTTGAAGTGGAACTCGGAAAGCGATCAGACGGCGGATGTGGACTTGCTGCTGGACAGGCGGAGCATCTCCAGTGAGGCCAACAGCGCCGGAGTGTTCAGCGACGAGGCGCACGAGATATTTGTGCGCCAACAGCAGAACCAGATCCTCTGGGACCTCGAGGAGATTAGGGAAACCCTGACCGAGGCTCCAGGCGGAAAGCAAGTCTTGGAAATGGTTCAATCTGGCGGTTTCCTGGGTGAGTACCTGACAGCAGGCTACCTAACGTATCCCAGACTAACTCCCCCGCAGAATTAAAGACCGACTCTGGTGACTGCAATTTGGCCCTGATCTGCTGCTCGGTATTCGGGAGCGTAGAAAATACTCTCTTCCTACTAAAGCACTACAACGCGGACCCAAATGTGGCGGACAGTCGGGGTCGGACTCCGCTGCATTTCGCCTGCTGTCGGGCAAACGCTCCCATAGCCAAGGTGCTGCTCGACTTTGGAGCTGACCCCAACCGCTGGGATGCCAGGAAGGAGGTGACGTCGCTGCACTGTGCAGCCAGGTATGAGGCCGGCGGTGGAGAAATGCGCTCCACACATGTGCGCAGCACTTAACACGCAGTTCTAATCAAGCGATTCCTTATTAGCTCAAAAAGCGTTGAATGCATCCTGCTGTTGCTGCGGCGCAAAGCGAGCATCAACATTGGGATCGAAAAGCGTTCCGCTCTGCACTATGCCATCGATGTGAACGCAGTGGATTGCGTTGAGATCCTGCTGAAGTACGGAGCCGACCCAAATACACCGCAGGTGTACACCGAAACTCCGCTGCACACCGCCAGCGCCGCAGGATTCGCCAAATGCGTCCAGCTTCTACTCAGCCACAACGCCGACGTGCGATCGCAGTTTGGCGAGGGAAAGGTTACGGCCCTGCACTTGGGTGAGTAGTTTACAAGGAGTAAGGAGGTTACAAGTGCTTCGCAAGATCGGTACATACCTAAATTTCAGCTGCTGAAAACGACTACGTAGAATGTGCTCGCTTGCTCCTCGAACACCGTGCTGAGGTGGACTGCCGTAACGCCAGCCATCAGACGCCGTTGCACCTCGCCTGTCTTTCGCAGTCCATCGGCACCGTGGACTTACTCATATCCTACGGAGCCAATGTAAACGCCGTCTACCGAGATGGTAGAACCGCGCTACACGCCGCCATCGTTAAGCAGTCGCGGAGTTTGGACTGCTGCAATGCCTTGCTAAAGGCAGGAGCGGATGTTAACAAGGTAGGCGGCAGATCCATAACCCTGAAAGCGTTAAATGAAAGCTGGACACAAATACTAGATAATGAATACTCTGTCCTTTTGCTACTGAAACGCAAGTTATAATGAAGATATTAGTGTACAGCACTGTTCCTGGGAATACCTCGCATACATATTAACATACATGTAAAGCACAAGTAACTCTTTACGTCAATTTTAAAGTGAAACCACTAAAATATTAACAAAACGGTTAAAAATTTAAAACTAGATAATTAGAATAATCAATGATTATCACTTACAGGCAGACAACTATGGGTATACACCGCTGCACATTGCTGCACTGAATGAATTTAGCAGTTGTGTGTACACGTTCATAGGCAAGAACCCGCTTTATATCTTCACCGATTTCTACATTAATAAATCGCCTTTTTTATTCCCAGAACACGGGGCGGACATTACCGCCAGGACTGACGGGCGTGTGTCGGCACTATTATTTATAGTAAGGCGCACTCCGGAGATAATACCCAAACTAATGCAAAAGCTGGATTGTTCGATAAAGGCGAACGATCAGGAAATCGGCGACGTTGATTGCCAGATAAAGCTAGACTTCAGGCTTTTGGTGCCCAGTTCTTCGATGGATCGGGGAGAAACCGAGCTACTCATCTCCCTGATAGAAGTGGGACAGAAGCGCATTCTCATGCATCCGCTTTGCGAGACTTTCCTCTTTCTCAAGTGGCGTCGCATTCGGAAGTTTTTTCTCATGAGCCTGGCGTACCATACGTTTTTCGTGATCCTATTCACTTTCTATGTAATACGGGTGTATGTCCGATGCTGCAAGGCGGAGGAGTTATGCGTGGCTCCAGGTTACGTTTCAACTATTGGATACCTGGTGATCATACTGAACCTAATTCTGCTGGGGAAAGAGGTGTTTCAAATGGCACATGGTCTTCGCGGCTACGCAAAATATTGGGAGAACTGGCTGCAATGGACCATTGGGATAGGTGTGCTCTTATGTGTATCCCCGGAGACCGTGCGAACTGACGATCTAACGGCAGTGCCGGTGTGGCAGCACCACGTGGCAGCTATAGTGATATTGCTCGTCTGGTTGGAGCTAATGATGTTGGTGGGACGATTCCCCATATTTGGCGTATATGTTCAAATGTTTACAAAGGGTAAATATGCTGAATCATGCTGGAAAGATATCCTGTAAAATGCTATAATGCTTGTGTACATATTTAGTGGCCGTTAACTTTGCGAAATTCTTGCTCGCCTACATATGCCTGCTGGTGGCTTTTGGCCTCAGCTTTGCCGTGCTCTTCAATGATTATCCTGCTTTTGAGAACATCACATGGTCCTTCTTGAAGTCTATCACCATGATGTCTGGCGAACTGGAGTTTGAAGACATCTTTTATGGAGACTATGCGGTCAAATTCCCTGTCACCGCTCACATCATATTTCTCTCCTTCGTGCTTCTCGTCACAGTAATTTTAACCAATCTCATGGTGGGATTGGCCGTCAGCGACATCCAAGGTCTGCAAGTGAGCGCCACGCTTGATCGTCTGGTGCGCCAAGCGGAGCTCGTGTCCCGTTTGGAAAGCCTTTTTTTCTCCCGCCTGCTGCGAAGTGCGCCTACCAACCTCATTCAGCTGTGCAAGCGGAGTGCTCTTCTGCGCACTTCCCGCGACAAACTTCAGTTCACTATACGGCCTAACGACCCCCGGGACAATCAGCTGCCGGAGGACATTAAGTTAAATGTCTACAAGCTGGTGGCCGAGCGGCGCGACAGAAACCAGAGCCTCCGACGACGCCAGTTCGAAAACAACTACAACATCTTTAGTCGCAGTCTGCAGCGTCAGCAGCAGCCGCTCCACGCGGATTTCCTTCAGCCAGAACCTGCAACGGAGACCACAAAGAAGACTCCGCAGAATGTATTTCACATGCACGAACTTCTGCGTCCCCGATCCACTACGAATGTGCCGCAGCAGTTCCGCCAGGATGCGGAGGGGACAGTACAGCTGAAGAATCAGGCCAATGTCCTAAGCGCTGTGCACGCCGAGGTGCAGGCGATCAAGACGCAACTAGTGGAGCTAGTGGCCAAGTTCGAGCGTTTCTCAGAAAACGCAACCCGCAAGCTTAACTACAGTACCGACGAGTTGTGCCGGCTGCGGCAGCAGGGTCAGTCCGTGGCCTCCAGTCACAACCGTCACCACCGCTAAGTCCTAAACCGGGTCAGTAAATTAGTTTTATTCCTTTTTTCATGAAAACACAATGATTAAAGCATAGCCATCGGTTGCTGAATTGCTTAGCGAGTGAGCCATTTGTCATTGCTCTGGTTCCAGACGAGGGTTTCATTATTGGGCAGCGGATCGCCTGGCGCAATCAGGGTCCAGGTCTGCGTCATCGGACTATATGCGAAGTTCTTGGAATTCGGGGGCGGAGGAGGAGCTGTTTGCGTCACGACCGACGGTTGCGTGATGGGCACGATGTTCGGTTTGGCGAAACCAGAAGCCACCGTCTTGTCATTGCTGATGTATTCCACCTGAGACTTGGGATTTGGGCTTTCCCAAGGTGCACCCAACAACAAAGCGGGAAAGATCAACACCACAAGAGCTGCGAACGTGAGGTACGTACAAATGGATATAGTATGGATAGTATGTAATATGTACAAATGTACATAGTTGTATACTTCTTTAAAGGAAATCTTATGCATATAGGAATGTGTGGCCCCGACTTACTGCATACGTACGCCATTGTTTTAAGAATAACTTTTACAAAATCTCAATAAACAACTGATAGAGAGTGATTTAGCGCGAGAGACGAACAGACAAGCAACCCGACTACGACTGATTGGGAGCTCGAGATTCCAATTTTTATGGGGTCATATATATACCGTACATACACCAGTAACAGCGCTAAGATTTAAAGTACATATGTATTTATATTCGATTATATGATGTCATCGATCAGACGTTGAAAAGAGTATTTGCAACACCTTCATATTTACAAACACATGAACTGAAGTGAATCGATATAGACATAGACTGGGTCTAACAAATGCCCTCGTGCAGCCTCAGGATGTCTATAACAAAGAAGGCATACATCGTTTTAGAAAGGAATTCCGAGAGGCACGCAGTCGGTGTACTCACCTAAGCCGCAGGCTAAGGCGCACTTGAACTTGTTTTCATTGTAGTAGTTGACGTTATCACTGCCGCAGATGGGATTGTACTCGCTGGTGGCCGGGCACGAATGGAAACAGGCGAAGTAGCGCGGCGACTGGGTGGTTGGTTGAGCAGTGGTCGTCGGGGTGCTGCTCTCTGCATTCGGAGCTATCGGAGGTTGAATGGGTGGCTGAGGCCGCAACCAGGGGTTTCCGTTATCGAACTGGGGGTGGCACTGCACCATCACAATCAATAGCAGGACAAGACCTGGAACTAGAGTTTAAGCTGATGTCGCTGATCTCAGGGCGCCACAAGATCTACCAAATATGTTGATGCAATCCATTTCGGGAGATTGGTTGCTTCCGCTTCGCTTGGAATACGAGGCACTTCTGAGGTCCCCGAAAACCCAGTGACGCCTATTTATAGGGTGTTTGCCAACCTGATTAACGCAATTGATTCTGTGAGACTTTAAATCACGTTTCGCTTTCGACCATTACAAAACAACTAAGTTCAGGAATTGATTTAAAACCTGTAAACGCATTCCATGAACAATGTTTTCAAGAACATAAGTACATATGTACATGAAGGTTTATTTATGTACACAAATTTGTATATAAGGCAGATGTACTGGACTCTGACTTGATGTTAAAGTGTATTGCGAATAATACCTGATTATCTTAAGGTTAAGGTTAGCAGTAACTTTGATTGATTGCAAGAAAATATTCCAACATAAGCCACTTCAGACGGTGTCGCTGCTTTTGCATCGATTGCAAATTAATTTATAAGACCTAGCCTCAGTTAAAACTTCGCCGTTAACCTTATCGCTATTGACCGCAATATTTTCGATTTACATTTGTCAGCATGACCGAAGGGGCAGCAGTGGGAGTTCCCGTCAATCCTTAATGATTATCTTTGTGATTAGCTTTGTGCGTTCATATTCGGTTAACTAGGTTTTATTGTTAAGCTGCAATGAAGCTTTAATTTTACATAGCGCATATGTACATACATTTTTACAAAGCTTATTATGATATGCAAACCGAAGTAGTAAGCATCACAGAGTCAATTTTTGCCAAGCATAAAGCTCGGACCCACAATATGGTTCAAAAGAGTGAAATTTCAGCATTTTTCGATTTTGTAAAACACTCTTGATAAACGACGCTGAAACAGAGAGAATCTTAAAAAAAAACTGAGGTCCCATCTGTGTGTAAAGTTATAAGCTGCTTTGGCTCATTGAATATATACGATGCTGTTGCTGTCGTTGCTGCTGCTGTGGCTTTGGCTTGTTCCTACGGGAAGAATTACATCCGCTGGTCTGCTCCTTTTTTGCCTGAATTTGTTCTCCCATCCGTAAAAATCCAGTTAGCTTATTGTCCCAAATGATCAGACGAATGGGGACCAAGGAAAGCAGCTGAAGCTTCAGAGGTGACTGCTTTGAGTTGCGCTCCGTAATAAGAATGTAATTAGGTGCGCCGTGCGTGTCTACGACGACCTTTTGCATTTTGTAGTTTATGCTTATAACGTGGCCCGACTCCAGAGTAACCACGTTCATCATATGCTGAAATATTTCAATGACCACAGCACGCATGTATATGCCCTGCTTATTGTGAATATAGCGTTTGAAGTACAAGTTCCCAGAGTCGTCTCCGGCCATTTTTGCATTGTACTTGCGCTCATTGGCTAGTTTTGTTAGCGTGTGCAGATCATCTGGAGTGCGTTTAGGCGGTGTACAATATTTAAGTGCAGCCGCCAAAAGTCTAAATGGAGAATATAAGTAAAAGTAAGTACGAAGAGCGAACTTCAAAGATAAGTGACAGTTACCGGTGCACCAATATATCCGGATACCGACGGATTGGGCTGGTGAAGTGAGTGTATATGGGTATGGACAAGGCGTAGTGCCACAGGTCGGCCGGTTCCGTTTTACCCTCGCTGCAAAAGTATCTGCAGGGGGGAAGGGATTGTGAGAAGAGTGATTATTTGGAAAACGAGACACTTACGTTGCCCGGGCCATTGGTTTCATCAAAAGCTGACTGAGGCAGGCGTTCATTGCGACTGGGTTAGGCGCCTCATTGCACAACCGCACCATGCTCTCCTGGAGCGCCTTAGACGAGCTGTAGTCCAATTCGAATCCCAGAGCAAGCAGCTTCTCCCGTAACGCCTTAAGGGACTTAGTAAGTGGTGGAGGGTGGTTACGCAGTACAGCGATATCCGGAAAGGAGTCGTGTATAAAACGGGCGACTGCCTGGTTGGCCAGGAGCATAAACTCTTCAATTAGGCGGTTAGCCTCTCGCTGTTTCTCCACTTCATATGACAACGGTTCACCGCTAATTGGATCGAGAATGAAGCGTAGCTTGGCATTGTTAATTGTGAGGGCGCCGTTGTCGAAACGTGTCTTACGGATGGAGCTCGCAATGTCGTGTAGCCACAGCACCCTTTTTTTGATGTCATCGGTATTAAATCCATTAAGGATGGTCGGAAAGTCGTTCTCGGTAAACCGCTCATTAGGGTTGTCAATGATCTTCTGAGCGTGTTCATAAGCAAATTGCGAGCAAGAGTTGATAACGGTGCGGCAAAATTCAGGCTTCTTTTGCAGCATGGCTCCCTCCCCGTTCATCCGCCAGAAGACAGAAAAAGCGAACTTGTCTTCCCCAGGGAGCAGAGAACATCGCATGCATAGAGACTGAGGCAGCATATGGATTACCTCGTTGGCTAAATAAATAGACGTAGAGCGTTCCTTCACTATGTTATCCAGTTCGTTGTCCTCCAACAGGAAGTGCGAAACATCGGATATGTGGACGCCAACCTCATATTCGTTCTCGCCTAGCTTCTCAATAGAAACGGCGTCATCCAAATCGCGAGCAGTCATCGGATCAATAGTAAATATGCACATCTTTCTTAAATCTTTTCGCTGATGCAGATCATCTTGGCTTATCGGAGGTGGCGTTTGGGAATACATGTCGTTAAATCGTTGCTCAAATGGCTTTATATCCCGGAGACCGTTATGAAACAGAATTGCCTTAAGTTCGTCATCCAAATTACCCACGCGGCCAACTGGCTGGATTAGTTCAGCAATGCAATGCCCATTGCAATCCGTCTCGAGTATATGAGCCAGGTATAAAAGGCCAGACACGTCTATTTTTTGCTTGCTTCCGATGTGGGCGGCACAGGCGTTCTTCGGAACGTAGACCATGGGGACACGCAAATCGTAAGGTCGGAATTTGTAAAATAGCTGGTCGTCACAGAGCTTGGTGGGGTTCGTAAACGATATGGTTCCCACGATCTGGCGGAGCTCCGTTTGCTTAGTTATGGCTATGACGAACGCTTTGGGGCAGTTGTCCGGCGATATGACGACCACGTTGTCGGCATCGGACTCAGAGTCCTGGGACTCGGTATCATCCGAAAGCTCCTCACCATCCGCTGAATAGGATATTATCATCAGTCGACAGCATTATAAATTCTCCGGTAAGCTTACCCAGAGATAAAGACGGCTTTCCACCAGTGATCCCGCCAGACGAGGGCTCAGCAGTCTGTGAGCTGTTCTGGGCACTTGGATTTAGAACGAATGCACGTACTTTGTCACCCTCGAAAGCATAGCGCCGGGCCACAGGCAGGAGCACGATGCCATCTCGTTCCAGTGCTTCTCGATCCGTGGACATGTTAATAAAGGCCTGCCTATTGTTTTTCCGATTCACCCGGATTTCCTCTTCTACAATGCGGCCATAGCCCGCCGCAACCAGCCTCTGCGCATGCGCATCCAGGTCGGAGAAGTTACCTTTGAAAATCAGGTCTTCCGATAACAGGTGGTCCATGCCCACGTGTTGCTGGACAATCTTGTTTATGTATGACCGCATGGCCTCCAGTTCGGTTTTTTGCGACTGTGTCGCATTACTGCCGGATCCTTCACTTTTCTTGCGATTGCGTTGCCTTCGTCCTTGTTTCGGGTGCTGCTGTCCATGACTACCATAGCTCGTGGAAGAGACCTCAGACTCGTGGCGTTGCCGCCCCTCAAGAGGCCGAGACAAATGTTGCTGGATCATGTCGTTTCCGCCGTCGATACGCTGAGGTAGTTGCTGGTAACCAACCTGTTGCGGCAGTGCTTCTGACCTTGTTTGACTCCACTCCAGCTGGGAAAGGATCTCGTTTTGACGTATCAGCTGGCAGGCATACGCGTTAACATCCGGAGAGAGGTGCGACAGATGTTTGACCATCTCCTGGAGAGCTTCCACCTCATTTCGAAGCATGCGCTTCGACTTCTTTCCCGCCATTAACTGCTGGCTGGGACTGGACACGATATGCATATGCGGATGTGGTTGGTGGGAAGGAATCTGTATGGTCGCCTGGTAGGACATTGCTACGTGATAGGGCATCGGCATGGTTATCGCCGCTGGGGCGGATCCTGGTGCACCGTAGGAAATGGCCTGCCTGTTGTTGGTCGGCGCAGATGGGGCTTGGTTGGGCTCTGGCCGTGTCTCCGCCCAGCGCCTCTGCGGCTGCTGAGGATTAACGACCTTGTCGACTGGTAAGCCTTTGCTGGCTGCATTAGACTCCATCTCCCTCTGCGTCTGCTGGAGGCGAGCAGTCAGGCGTTGTGAGCGCTGGCGGAGGGCCTCAATCTTGCTGCACTCTCGGTCCGCATCCCGCTTCCTGTCCGCATCCACGTCGACGCTTGACGTTTCCGACATTCTGCAAGAAGTGAAAGTTGTCTGAAAGTTGTGAGCACTACACTTCGCTATGGGCAGTATATAAAAGGGAAGGCATAATTGAATACTTTCTTGAAATTAAAATGATAAGCAAGTATAGTAGGACCGTAATGCGTGGGATGTCGGAGCAGTGTCAGCTTTGGCCACACTCCGTTTCGGTAGTTCAGAAATTAGTGGAGATGAATGACGGTAAGTTGTTTTTGTTTATTTTCGCATTTGGGAATAGGTATTTAAACTGATCTTCCAGAAGAAATCATAAAGCAGCGCCTGCTGATTGACGGGGATGGAACTGGAGAGGATCGGAGGATAGTAGTGTTGCTGAAGCAGTTCTTGAAGTGGGCCAATGACTCGCCGGACAGCAAGTAAAATGGTTTTATACGTGTTTTCAAAACATATTTACATAGTTTCTTTTCTTTTCTGATCTGCAGTCCTATCATGTACGACCGCCTGATGGCCCAGTTCGCCCAGTGCAAACTCACTGCGCTCAAGAACGTGCAGACTCTGCAGATGATCGCCGGCGAGCGTGACAACTACACAAAACTGGTGGAACAGCACGAAGAAAGTATTGTTTTGGCAAAGGTGGAAATTGAATCCAGTAAAAAGGAGCTCATTACTGCCAAGCAGATTCGCAAGAACAAGATGGAGTACGACCTGCTGGCCTCGCTCATCCAGGATCAACCGGACCGCAGCGAAACACAGCGGCACATCGAGACCATCAGGAGGGAGATTGACGACTTGGTGCAAAAGAAGCTTAAGATGGAGCGCAAGTTTCAGAAACGACGCAATGACTTTACTTTGCTGATGTACACGATTCACGAGCTGGAACAGCAGCTGGACCAGGAAAACAGCTCATCCTCGACATCCTCCTCGTCCAGCGAATGCGATGCCCGCTCTGAGCCGGACCTGGACGACAATGGGATCATGGAAGTAAGCGATGAAGACGACGATCTCAACAACAGCACTCCCACAAAGTTCGACGGAGTCCGTGGCGAACCCAAATTTCACTCAGTCTCCACTGAGGACTCCAAAGCCATGTCCGTAGAAGAGGACACGGTGCTTGAGCTAAGCATCGACAAGGATGAGCACGACGTGGATGTAGCTGTTGCCAGTTAGGTTAAAAGCGCTAGCATATAAAATGAAAAACAACAAAATAAAATGTCATGAAATATAAATATATGAATATTCAACTGTTGTTTTTATTCCCAATTCAGACTTGCAACCGACATGGTATTCTAAACTGATTTAAGAGTCTAAATTATTAAATATTACCTGAAAAGGAATTTTCAAATTTTTAATAAAATTATTCGTCTGACTGAAAATTATTTGGACCTTCATTATTTACTTCTTTTCTTAATTATTTTAATTAATTTAATTTTTTTAATTAATTTATTTTAAATTATTTATTTCTTCGTTCCTTTGTATATTTTACAGAATTATAGTTTACTAACAAATATACTAGAAATAATTCTGAAATCCCACGAGGTATTTTTAATTCGAATTTTCTCTCTTCCGGCGTGCAGTCACACTAACAAAGCTACGAAGAGGAAGAACACGAATAAAGAGAAAATTACAAGTTTCATCAGCAATCTGCAAAGAATTACAGCACACCCTAAGAACGCACATTGTGCGTGCACACGCAGTTAACAGTGTTAAACACTTCCAATAATGGCTGACGATAAAAGGTAGGTTAACTAACTAAGCCCGCTGACCGCATGTGTGTGTATTGACCTGGGTTGCCCCGCTTTTGTACCGAATAGCTACGACTCCAGCAACAACAGCGAGACCGAGGAGCGTCGGGCCAAGCACAAGAAGGCTAAAAAGCACAAGAAACATAAAAAATCCTCGACAGGCAAGACCGAGAAGGACAGGCATGTCCACAAGAAGCAGAAGAAGGCAAAAAAGCGCCCCCACCGCACAAGCGAGTCCTCAAACGACTCGGACGCCCCGGAAAACGCAAAGCCTAAGCTATCACAAAATTGCGGGCTGAGTAGCAAGTTCACAGAAATTATGCAGAAGGCGAGCCGCAACGGAGCCGACTTCCGTGTCGTCAAACCCCTGCTGCCGACGGATCCGAGCAGCCTTGTTGAAGAAATCACGAAAACTATTCAGAATAAGATGCTGCCCGTCCTGGAGGTGGCCAGTTCTGGCAGCGAAAGCGATGTGTGAGTATTGCGGAATGCAATGGGGAAGTGATTTCGTAATTCATGTGGTCTTCGCACCTTTTCTTTTTGGTTTCAGCCCCGCAGATGCGGCCACTCCTATCATTGCGTCTATTATTGAAGACGAGCTTAACTTGGAGGATTTGATGCGACAGAAGGCCCTGCTGCAGGCACGCCTGGGCGCTTACATGTCGGACCCCGAGGCCGAGGATAAGGGCGATCTTCTCTCATACACACACTCCCAGCAGCTGGTTGCTCACACCAAATCAGTGCTCAAAGCTGTCACATCCGCACCGCAGCCCCAACCCAGCAAGTCTGCAGCGCCGTTGGCTACTGCAACCAGTAAACATGCTAATATTAAAAAGTCTACCACGCATAACTCAAATGAATCCGATGTTATATTGTTGGATGATTCTAGCGGAGGCCAGCGAACCCCCTCGCCCACGCCCGAGAAGCGAAGGCGCCACGCATCCCCGCTCCCAGCAGCTCCGAGAAGCCGTTGCCGTAGGGATCGTCGTTCGAGGGATCGCGACCGTTCACCCCCACGACGCCGAGCATCAGATCAGCAGACGCAGGTCCGACCGCGGAGCCGCAACCGCAACATGGAGGACCTACGACAGGAAATAAACCGCGACAAGCAAAGGGAAAGACGGGACCATAGCCGAGACCGGGATCGGCGAGGATTGGATAGACAGCCGCCACCCACTGATCTGAGACCAGGTCGTGCACGGGAGCGAGACGTTAGGCCGAGTCGCATCCAGCGGTCGCACAGCCGCAGTAAGTTTGAGTCAGACAGGCGACGGGAGCGGGAGCGGCAAAAGGACCGGGATCGTGGTGGCTTTGATCGCGGTGGCGTGCGCGGAGGTGGCCGCAGCGGGACAGACAACGGGGACAGAGATCGGTACAAGGGTTCGCTGAGCGAGGGGCAAAATAAGCTCGACAAGGAGAGCAGTGACGAGGAAGTGAACGTGGACATCGCCATTTTTGAGGAAGATGATGACGAAGAACGAATCATTGAGCTACGTAGAAGGAAGCGCGAGGAGCTACTCAAGGTAGGCAAAATGTTTTTTTTTTTTTAATATTGCAATAAACTGATTGTTTTTACCTTGTAACTGTCATTAGAAACTAGGCACTGGACAGGAATCTCCAGCGCCTCATAACTCGGTCTCGTGCGAGTCCCGGAGTACTTCCCGAGGGTCATCCCAACGCGAAAGACCTTTAAGAACGCCGACGCCCACGCTGTCTTGCCCGAATCCGCTTAGTTCGGAAATGCCAAAGGAACACCAGGATATGGATAACTCGACAAGCCAAAAGAACTGCTCCGTCAAGGAAAAACGAAACGAGTGGGATATGTTCGCCGACCAAGATGTGGATTCCAATTTCGATGTGAGTCGCAAAATTGTAAATTTCAAACTCAAATTCTTCATCACACTTAATAATTCCGAGTTAAAATCCCACCAGTCACCCAACACAATCGTCCAAAATAAGCATCAACACGAAAATCCCGCCCTCACAGACAACTGGGACGATGCAGAGGGCTATTACCGTGTACGTATCGGTGAAGTTTTGGACAATCGCTACCTAGTAAATGGATACACAGGCCAGGGTGTCTTCAGCAACGTAGTGCGTGGCAGAGACCAAGCTCGAGGACAAGCTAATGTAGCCATTAAGATCATACGGAACAACGAAATAATGTAAGTATTTTTTTTTTTTCTTTTTTTGTCTATTTAAATCGTTTTTTCTTTCATTAGGCATAAAACTGGCTTACGAGAACTAGAAATATTAAAAAAGCTGAACGACGCCGATCCAGAGGATCGTTTCCACTGCCTGCGGTTGTATCGTCACTTCTTTCACAAACAGGTAATTCATCGTCAGTATAACTTAGTGTCGACTGAATTGTAATGTTTATTTTTCCACTATAGCATCTTTGTATGGTGTTTGAGCCATTAGCAATGAATTTGCGGGAAGTACTTAAAAAATATGGCAAGAATGTGGGACTCCACATCAAAGCAGTGCGTAGCTATACGCAGCAACTATTCTTAGCACTCAAATTGTTAAAAAAGACGGGCATTTTGCATGCGGACATTAAGCCGGATAACATTTTGGTAAACGATAATAATCTGATACTTAAGTTGTGTGATTTTGGTTCTGCCTCGGCAATCAGCGACAACGAAATAACACCGTATTTGGTATCGCGGTTCTACCGCTCACCAGAGATCATTTTGGGTATTCCCTATGACTACGGTATTGACACCTGGTCTGCCGGCTGCACAATTTATGAGTTATACACAGGAAAGATTCTGTTCAGCGGGAAGAGTAACAATCAGATGCTAAAGTATTTCATGGACGTAAAAGGCAAGATACCAAACCGAATTATCAGAAAAGGTCAGTTTAGAGAGCAACATTTTGATCAAAGCTGCAACTTTCTGTACCATGAAATAGATAAGCTCACCGAGAGGGTAAGTGTTTTTGAGATAACGTGAGAATCTAAGGCCTAGTTTACAATGTTTTACATCTACAGGAAAAAATTGTTGTAATGCCGGTAGTCAAACCTTCGCGTAGCCTGCAGCAGGAACTAGTTGCTGACCAAAACTTGCCAGACGATCAACACCGCAAGGTCACTCAGCTTAAGGACCTTCTGGAGAACATGTTTTCATTGGATCCTGCTAAACGGATCTCCCTTAACCAGGCACTAGTTCATCCATTTATACAGGAGAAGATGTAAATCGAACGACGAAATCAATGAAACGTAATTTAATTTCGCATAGTCCTAAGACAACAATTCCCCCAACTCGGACGTTAGTTACTAGTTGTCGTTTGTTATTAGATACACCTGCTCAACCAAAAAATCACTAGATCTAATTATGTTCTGTGGTTTTAAGCTGTACGGCGCGTTTTGAGAACCGAATTATACAAAATATTGGTTAATGTTTCCTGCGTGTATATAAATATTTTTATGCTACTGTATAAAATGCATGTGACGGATTCGCCAAACACAATATATATACATATATATATGTATATATATATATATATCTATAAAAATACACAAGTACAGTTTCCATCTGCTTTGTGAATCGTATTAATGTGTACTACAATTTCAGTGTGCCGCTTGTTACGGACGAGCTTTCCTTGGCCTTGTGGCTGGCTAAACTGGTAATAATTTATATTCACGATTTTGCAGAGGATACCTCATAAGATTAAAACGCTGTATGTCCCTCCGATTTACCTAATATCACCAATAACCAAAACTGTTGAATTAATGATTTTTTAATATGTATAATTTCTTGCGTAAATTTTATGTCCTAAAAGATTTAAACTTAATAATCATTATATGAATTTGTTTAATGGTGCCCTGCAAGAGTAGGGGTCTTCGGTTGGTCGAAGAGAGTATCAGGCATATAAGCTTTAATCTGAGCGACTAACTGCCAGATTCAGCTAATTGTTTTTAACCCACACATCTTTAATGCATTTGTTTTCTTTAATCTTACAGTTGGGGCTGTCAACACATTTCGTCTACGCCTTCAAATTTCAACTGCGCCCTGTAATTCGTGAGTATATAAGGTAGAACATTCTGAGAGCTAATTGTTAGACTATAGTTCTGTCCAAGTAAGTATTAAGTACCTTTTGAAATTATACTTCATGGGGACGCGCTGATTCATAACAGTCCGTTCAAGTCATCAGTGCGTATTGGCAGCTCTAGAGCTTTCTGCAGAGTTTCGCTCAAGCACAGATAGTGCAGTTCAGGTGGCTGAACCTCACTCTTAAGAAAGCACTTGACTTTTTTGGGTTTCCAGTTGTTGTCAGCAAACGGGTCCTGCAGCAGCCCGAAGGCACATTCAAAGATTCCGACGCAGCTATCACGTGAGTGCAGAGTGCCGCAGCAGATCACTACGAACTGGCCGTAGTAATCCATTCGACCCTGAATCCCGGCGTGCGTAAGGTTTGGATTAAAGTAAAAGTCGAACTGCTGCTTAGCGCTCGTTAGTGCCGATAGCACCTCGGCAGCCGTTGAGCACTTGCACTCATTGATTCCATCACTGGCTATGATCGTTAGATGTAGGGCCGCATCGGCCCACAAATCCACCAGACTGAGGGTGTCTGCGTTGAAGCGGTCGAAGAACCACTCTCCGAACTTCCGTGCAATCGTGTGAATTGGGTAATCCTCTTCGCTCTGCTTGTGTAGCAAGCTGGAAGTCTGGCCTTCGGAAAGCTCATTGCTTGGTTGATGCTCATCTTTCCAACACTCTATAACCTTGGCAATAAGGTCTGCCTTGCTAAAGTCTGTGGCTGCGTCCGCGCCTCGTTTGCTCAAATACGTGAAGAGGAGTTCCTTCGTTATAGCTCGTTTGGAAAGCAGTATGTAAATGTCTGGAATGTGTGTAGTGATCAGACGAAGTGCCTCTGCAAGTTAAATACAAAATACTTATCTATTGAGCAAATTCCGAGATTAAATCTTACCCTCCGGATCTTCGGTTTTGCACATATTTTTGGTAGCGCCTTTAGCCAGATGTAGCAGGACGGCTAAGTTCTTCTCATTTAGAAGTAACTCCCGCAGTCCTTTCTTCTGGCTGTCCGAAATTGGCATGTCGAATATTCCAGTTTCTTTCGCGGCTAGAATCTGTATTGTTTGTTATTCTTCTGCAATTTGTCGTTCCGATCAGCTGATACCTTCGAGTTTGTGTTTACATTTAAAAGTGTTACCCAACACTACAGTCGCAATATGCAATATCGCTGTGAATGTTCGTTTATGCGCAGCTCATTTCATAAATATAAGATATATTTTCTAATAAAATAATAGTCATTAAACGAATAGATAAATAGTTACTTATAACCAAAATTGTAGAATGTAAAGCACCTTATGGTAAATCAAGTGATTTAATAAGTTTAGGTTTATTTCTCAATAGCGAAAATCGCGTTCTTCTCTGCTGCATAAACGTTATGTCGCGCCCATCCGCAGTAAATATTTACTATCCGACGGGTTTTCAGCTTGCACACACCGCAATCGTAACAATTTGCAAAGAGAAGGCTCGCTCACCTTATCTCTTATCGCATAATTTCCGTCGAATATGTCGACAAGATTCCATTAACTTATTTTAGTGTGAAACAAACTCGCGAGAAAGCGTGCTGACATTTATTGACCGTAAAGGTGAACTCTGAACACCCAGTAAAAAATGGACTCTCCCACAACTGAGACGACCCCGCCTCCACCTACACTATCTGGTCCATTCGTTGGGGCTATTGACGAGGGAACCACCTCAGCGCGATTTATAATATTTCGTGCGGGCACTGACGAAATTGTGTGCTTCCATCAGATTGAAGTGGAGTCAATTTTTCAAAAGGAGGGATGGTGCGAACAGGATCCCATGGCCATAGTAAACACGGTCAACGAGTGCATCGCTGGAGCCTGCAAGAAACTTGTGGCCGTGGGCGGGAAGGTTGAGGTACGTCAATTTCAGATGAATCGCTTCCCACATCTGAACCATTCCGATATGGCCGATCGATAATCTCTTTATTATATGTTCTAATAAATCACATGGCAGGGAAAGGGTTGGGGCTAGCTAATGTCCAGTAGAAATTTGCGATACACTTTCGCCTCCTCGATCCTTTCCTCGATGGTGCGCGGAGGCTTTTCCTCGGCGCGTTCATCTAGTTTCACGTAGATCTGGTCATTGTGCCCAAAGTCTCCCAGACGGCGGGGCATCACATGGAAGTGTACGTGTGGAACAGTTTGTCCCGCCTGTGCACCATCTTGCACAGTGACGGTGGCAGAAGTTGTCTGGTAAATCTTCTCCAGCACTCTTTGCACCAGACACACAGTGGTGAACATATCCGCCATTTCGGCACAGTCGAGGCCACAAAGGCGTGGAGTCACTCGTTTAGTGGACACCAGGACGTGACCCTTTACAACACAGCGTAGGTTGGTGAATGCGAAGCAGTGTTCAGACTCATAAAAAATCGTGCGCCTGTCTACGATATTAGTGGCAAATGGGCGATCCTGGGTGGGTTCTTTGCTGCGAATGTTGTAGGCTGTTAGGGCGTAGATGTCGTTTCGTCTGTGCTCGAAGCAGGGCATGGTCTGATACAGAGATTGAAGCACGGAAAGGTCCACTTCGGCCGTGCCTATGTCAAGCTCCTGCTCGCCGCAGTCAGCCATTATTTTTCCCCAGGGGCTGACGATCATGCTGTGGCCCCAACTCTGTCGCTTTTGGTTGTGCCAACCCATCTGAGCCGCGGCGACCACAAAGCATTGAGTCTCTATGGCCCTGGCACGCAGCAGGATTTCCCAGTGCGCCTTACCGGTTGCGTATGTGAATGCGGCTGGGTATGTTAGCATATTGGCACCCAGCTTCCTGAGTAGAACCGCCGGTTCAGCAAACCGCAGGTCGTAACAAATCTGAAGTCCTAGCTGGCCAACGGGAGTGCTCACTGGGCGCTCAAGGCAGGGGCCCGGCGTAACTGTGTCAGATTCGCGCAGGCGAATCTCTTTCGTCGTTGCATCAAACATGTGCAGCTTCCTGTATACTGCTGCCAGCTCCCCTTTCTCGTTTAACAAAACATGCGCGTTGTAGATTTTTTGATCGTTCCGCTCGTGCACGCCACCCAGCGAAATCCAAATTTTATTGCACTTCGCCAATTCCCGATACTGCGCCATTAACTCGCCGTCCAAACCCTCAGAGAGCTCCAGAGTTTGCGTCCGGCTCTCGCCCACAAAGTCACAGCACTCGGGCAGAAAGAGCATGCAGGCGTTCTTGGACTTGGCCCTAGTCACTAGCTCTATCACCTGGCTAAGATTAGCTGCCTTGTCGCTGGTGGAGCACATCTGGCCCACAGCAATGGTCGCATTTTGATCCCTCCTCTCCTGGACGGACATCCTGCGTAGCTGCTGATGGTTGGCGATCACAATGCTGCGTCTTATGATATTAAATAGAGTTGACATTGAAACGGGCCGCCGGCTGTGGAAAATTTCCGAATCGGTTACGTCGTAAGGTGTTATCAATTATTTTCACTTAAGTTGTTTACTGCCCTGCTCTCTTTACCATTCCCCTGGCTGACGGCATTTCCCAGAGAATGGCAAACAAGTGTGTACACAACCAAGGAATAAATATACATGAGTTGACCGTTTTTACTCAATTCGAATATTTGAAATTGACAGCTAAGCTTTCGGCTCGTTTCAGGAAATAATCACGATTGGAATAACAAACCAACGCGAGTCCACAGTCGTCTGGGATAAAAACTCCGGCCAACCGCTAGTCAACGCTATCATCTGGCTAGATAATCGGACTACCAGCACGGTGGAGGAGCTTTTGGAAACTATTCCGAACAATGCCAGAAACATCAACTACCTGCGCCCATTGTGCGGACTTCCTCTGTCTCCGTACTTTTCAGGAGTGAAACTCCGCTGGCTGCGAGACAACGTGCCGGCTGTCAGCCAGGCTATGGAAAAGGGAACGGCCATGTTTGGCACCATCGACACCTGGCTGATGTATAATCTTACGGGTGGGAAGGACTGTGGTGTCCACAAGACGGACGTGACCAACGCTTCGCGCACTATGCTCATGAATATCGAAACCCTTCAGTGGGACGCCAACTTGCTCAAGTTTTTTGGGCTGCCCAAGACCATTTTGCCGGAGATCTGCTCGAGCGCGGAGTTCTATGGCAGCATTGCGCAGGGCGTGCTGCAGGGCATAGGCATAACATCGGTTTTGGGCGACCAGCAAGCCGCTCTAGTAGGTCAACAATGTCTGGCCAAAGGTCAGGCGAAAGCCACTTATGGCACTGGATGTTTTCTGCTTTATAACACAGGACCGTCAATTGTTCACTCAACGCACGGTTTGCTAACGACTGTTGGCTACCAACTAGGACGGAAAGCAGTCCCATTTTACGCTCTTGAGGGCAGCGTGTCTATTGCCGGTGCTGCATTCAACTGGTTGCGCGACAACATAAATCTTATTCAAAACTCGGGGCAAATAGAAACCATGGCTAGCACTGTGGACAACTCTCTTGACGTATACTTTGTGCCAGCTTTTAATGGACTCTACGCCCCCTACTGGAATCAGGACGCACGTGGTGTTATTTGTGGACTGAGTGAGGAAACAACAAGTGAGCACATAGTACGAGCCACCCTGGAAGCAGTTTGTTTCCAGGTCCGTGATATCCTCGATTCGATGCACAAGGACTGCAAGATACCACTGGCCAAGCTAATGGTGGACGGGGGCATGACTGTGAATAATCTGTTCCTGCAGCTTCAGTCCGACCTAGTAGGGATTCAAGTACTTCGGGCGAAGATCGCAGAGACAACAGCGCTGGTTAGTAGTTTAGCTTGTGAAGTAAAGGCAGCTTTAATAACCCAACAATTGTTTCAGGGAGCTGCAATGGCAGCCTACAAAGCCGTTGAAAGCCGATACCAAATGGAGGCTCCACTCTCAAAATCTGGTCCCAGAGAAGCCATTAAGCCATCGATTAGTGCCACCGATCGCAACCTGCGCTATCAAAAGTGGAAAATGGCTATCGATCGATCACTGAACTGGGAGACTTCGACACTTCCACAGGGCGAGCGGGATGCCTTCGATGGAGCGTAATTGCAGATGTCTGCTAACGTCCTCGTACTTATATCCGTGAATCAATTGGCTTGGATTTCGTGTTCGAAATTTCCATTTATTACATATACATATAAAAATGTTAATGAAAAACGTAAAGTGTTTCTGTGCGCGGTGCTGCTCTGGCAGTGGGCTTCGCTTACCAATCGGTATGTTGATCTACATATTTTCTTCAACTATGCCGACAGCAACAGCGATGGCTGCCTGGTCCAACTCGTTGAGCATTACAACGCCTCCGGCGGCCTCGTCGACGGCTACCACGACTGCTGGACCAGCCACGCCTATAGCTGCGGGTGCGACGGCCATACCGACAGCAAGCTCAGCGTTATTGGGATGCGGATTAGCTACTGCGATAGGGGGAATCGGATTTCCACCTGGAAAGGAATTTTGGTTTTAGGGAGTTGTTACTCTCCATATCGAGCATTACGCACTTGCGTCCAACTCCAGTGGCGGATCAGCATTTGCTTCCGCGAGATTCGTTACAGACTTGGATTTTACACACTGGAAATCAACATGGCGACTCTTTGCTTCCTCCTTCTCCCAGGACATGTGGATGAAAGGTCGCTGCACATAACTGTAGATGACCTCAGCCCGTCCACCAGGCCTCCTTCGGATCTTTTCTTTGTGGGTGGGGTATCCCTCTATGCCGCAACGTATCTTCTTTAAACCGCGATCCTTCATGACTTGTTTGGCCACATCGCGGTTCTCGATGTACTTGAAGAATCGATGCATGGCAGTGCTGTGCACAGCTGCGTTGGAAATGTTAGTGTTGCTTACATTTCCGTGATACTAATTGCAAATCACATTTTTTAAATCCACTCACTCTGACAATACTCCTCGCCCATTTGAGGCGGAAACTCTTCGTCCCACTCGACCATATCGTCTTCAAGGAGCACCACAACGTGACACTCGCGATCCCCGCGCTGCGCCGAGGCTACCATGAGGGGCAGAATTAGGTCCTCAAGAAAGAGTTCAAATTGTTGTCGCGCTCCTTCGTTGCTAAGCTCGTGGAGAAGGCCTCCTTTATGTCAAACATAACAGAGGGCATGTTACAAGGAAAGAGACGGAAAACAAGCAGAGGTGGCCACAACTAAGGTTCGCCCTGGCAGGAACAGTTCGCAGTATACTCACTTAGGTTCTGGCAGCGCACGGTGGTTGCGTCGAAGGGAATGAGCAGATAATCACAGGCTTCTTTTAGTTCCGGTACCGAAACAGTGGGCGGGCAGCGGATAACGCCGCTCTTGTAGTACTCCAGAATGGCTCTGAACACCAAGTGCGAGATGCCATCGGCGACGTCGTACTCGCCACGCTCGTTGGTATGCGCGAACTGAAATCCAGAGCCGAACATGGTGCCCAGCATTGTGGTGGGATGTGCTGTAAGCAGTGACTGCTCCACCGTAAAGCGCACGCCGTCCACCAGCATGGTGATCCTCTCGGGAGGCACCGGCAGGCGGCCCACTCCGGAGCCCGTTGCCTGGCAGCTGGGAGATGCTCCGCATGGGGACTTAATGTCGTGCTTGGGCACAGCCCCTCCGCCTGACATGTTGTGCTGCGGACGGTTTAGTCGGCTACGCTCCTTCATGATGCGCCTCCTCCGCTCCTCGGCTGTTTCAAGAACTTCCTCGCTGCTGTCGCTACTGTAAGTGTCCTGCTTCTGGGCAAGTGGCGGCTTGCTACTGATATTGCTACTACTACTGTTCAGACTTGGAGTGTTTGACATGTTTGTTGCGTTTGCTGAGCCACTCTACAAATATTCCAGTACCACAGCGTTCCGCCCGACTTTTTGAGAGAGACAAAGAAGACAATCTAGCAGAGGACGGTCAAATTAGCGAGGCTCCGTTGAAAAAAAAATCTGCTTATCGCTGCATCAGGGGTCCGATTAAATAGTATTCACGTTACCTTTGTGCGACGCGACTTTTTCCTTTTTACATATAATTATAAATATACATATTTTTTCTTGTTGGTGCTGGTGGTGGGCTCCTGGGTGCTCATCCGATAGTTCTCCGCGGTAACCGATAATCATCTTCTGCCGTGTATGTTTGCTTTCAGCTTATCAGTTATTTCTAAACGTATAAAAAATTCCTTTCTAAAGGAGAAAAATTAAAAGAACTTTGTGTTTTCCTCAACTTCAATTATTTGCGACAATTTTTGTTATATAATTATTTATATTTAATTTGCTTGCTAAAGAAACTAAGAATTCTTATAGATAAAAATATAAAAATTCTTAATTAACTTATTATAACTTAAAATATATTTATATATATATTTTTTTTTATTGAAATACGGTTTAGAATGAAATTACCTTGGAAAATGTTTAAAAACAAAATACAGCGCTGGGATGAATGCAACTCTGTATATACCCAAGCTGTGTATCGATAGCGACCACCGACTAAATGCACTCGATAGTTTAAATTTGCAACCGTTCATCATGGCGATCTGAGAAAAATAATTTTTGCTCAAAAATAAAATAAATAATCAAAAGAATTGTAATTCTTGCGAACGCAAATGCGATTTTGGGAAACGTGAGTTTTATACGGACGCTTCGCGAATTGCGAAGGCTGTGAGCGGTTTGCGGCCAGTAACAAGTGCTTGGCGTGTGTGTCTACGGCGGCAAAAAACCCAAATGTAAAATATATAACAAAATCCCAACTCCCCCAAAGAATGGGCAGTGCGAAAGTCGCGCCCTGAGTAGGCGTGTCGTGTTCGGAAGCGCTAGAGACGCGCAGAGTTGCCGCCTAGGTGTACGGATAGCAATAACAAATAAGTTGTTATAATAAAAGTGTAAAAAAGTGCAAAAACTATATTTGCTTCCGAGTAGTGAAGTGGCGGAGGGGTATGCTGGGTGCCGAGTATAAGCTGGCGGATGCAACACGCACGCCACCTGCTTGCCTCTTACTCGCACTCACGCGCATAGTAAGCGCGCCCTTAAACGAGCGTGCTGCGTGCGAGCGGGAGGGCGCCTGTGGGTGTTGCACCAGTCACCTATTGGCAGCTTAAGCGTTTTTCTATATTTTTTGTGTATTTTCGGAATGCACAAAAAATGTGGACACTAACTGGGAACGCTCCTGATATAAGCGAATAACCAACAAGCATCTGTCTTCTCTCCGGCCAGACTAGCAAATGCTCGTCGAGAATCCAAACCAGTGAGCTTAGCGCCAGAGAAAAACTTGCAAAAGTGTGTGCATAAACAACGAACAATAACAAAAGGCAGCAAGCGGAAGGTGGCAGTGGAAGTGGACTAACTCGCCCGTGGAGAAGTGCGGAGCACACAGGACTGCAAAGTGGCGTCGCTACTGGATATTAGGGCTGGGGCAGCAGCGGCGTCCATGTCCACGGGGCACAAAGGGTGGACCACCAAGAATCACGACCGCACCACAGCCAGGAGAGCGCAGCAGCAGCAGCCGGTGTGGTGTCGCCAACTGTGGCCTTAAGCATGTAGTAAGTAAATTTGGTTAGTAGACCATCTCCTGAAATACGTACTGAAGGTGCTTTTGATTCTAGGTCTTGCAGCAAAGAACCCGTTCTCTAAAAAGCACAAGACACAAGGGACAAGGTACCAATCG